ATGGGTGGGTTTGAACATGTTTATGAATAAACTGATGAGAAAGGCAAGATTACTCATAAGCATGTTTGAACTTGTTTATGGGTTCAAATGTAGGTTGCAGAGAAAATGTCATAGAAATCCTCTCCCTCCTTATGAGTAAATAGCCATGTTTGGGCTGCAAGTTAAAAACATTTTTATTATAGATTAAAACTTTCAAAATCTATACAGAACTGAATCAGAATTCTTCTGTGGAGAAAATATGGTCTTGGTTATATTATGTTGTAAGTTGTTTGAGCAGGAATGTGGTTCTTAACACTCTTTAAGGTTATAATGACAGCACTGTATCAATAATGACATTATATCTAAATGCTGTGATAATATCTCCTTGATGGAAACAGATAAGAACAGCATATTCTAGAGAAGAAAACTCAATTAGAATATATTGAGTTAAATCCAGACATATTCTTCGATTCACAATGGGAACCAGGATTCAGCGTAGGCCTCCCATTGGAAAAAGCAGATAGAATGCCAAAACTCAGCACAGGTGTGGATCCAGTCCATTTTCAGTTGGATAGGCAAATTTTAAGCAGGAAGGAATGGAATATGGACTTTCAGAACATTGAATGACAAATAGATGTTGAGTAACTTTCAGCTTTAAAATCTCAACTATATATAATATATGGATTTAAAAACATCTTAAAGAACATTGTAAGAAAAGAACATTTTGTTCAGATAATACTTTTACATAAAGTAAAATCCTTGGAATCTATTATCTAATGAGGTGGTTGAGGGGACAAGAAAAATTTAAAAAATGCTGAATTTTTATAAACAGAATCCAAAGTGCAGTTACATATCTTCTGTTCATGACTGATTTAGCTTCCCACACTACAGGCATTGCTGTTTCAGAAGTCATGCCAAAACGTAGGAGCAGGTTGGATATGGAGAGAGGGAAGAAGAAGGCCAGAATATCTTGCTGTGTAAACAGAAATTAGTAGTTAAATCTGGATCTCTAAATTAAATTATAAGCACACTGGAAGTAAGTAGTTAATATTCAAGTGCAGAAGTGTAACAGAAAAATAAATAAGTTAAAAAGTAAGTTTTCAATCTGATTTGGTAATTTTTTTAATATGCTGAACCTTTGAAGTAAAAATACATATCTTTGTTCTGTAAGTGGAAGAATCAGTGGTTTCTCTTCTGTGCCAATTCGGTTTCTGCTAGTAAAATGAATTTAGAACAAGTCTGCTGCTCTGACAAGGTTTAGAATTTTTTTACAGCAAATAACAGAATATAGAAGGAGCAACATTAAGCAAGGTTGAAAGTAACACTGGTTCCAGCAAAGCTCAGAGAATGCACATGTTTTGCATATTGAAGCTGCTACCTGAATGATTCTGATCACCTTGCATCATTACAGTTAACTTTTCTGGATTTTAAGAAGCATAGGGGACAGAGTTGGATAACATTGTCTTGCTTGCCTTGGATGGAGTTCAGTAGCATACTGTGCAATCGTGCTGCTTGCCTGGTTTGGCAAACATCCAGTTATGTGTATTTCTGCTTTTTACTCCAATCCGAATTGAGAAAATTAGAATTGAGTATTTGAGAAAGAAAACAAATCTGTGATCTGAATTCCTGAGATATATTTAATTCTGCTGAAGTGAGGATAGAATGTATGATACCTGTGAAAGGATAAGACGTGGTTTTATGATAAGCCTTCTCTCTCTGGTCATACTCCTCGTGGCAAATATGTAAGTAGAATGGAAATTATGGAAATTTCAGATAATTTTAAAAAAGTCAAATAAAATCCTGAGAAGAGACACGATTATCTGTGGAATTTCTCCACAAAATTTAGTATCTGTTGTCTCTGTCAATGAAATATTATTACAGTTCATTTGGGAGAGAATTCTGCTGTAGACAAATTCATGGTTTTCTCCCCTTAAAATGTTCTGTCTTTCCTACCTTATTTTGACTCTTGTTTATGAATCATTTCTTCATGAAAAGCTGTGGCGAGCAGGAAGCTTCTGCCATGATCCAGAACAGTAGCTGTTGTTTTATCTATTAGTTAACATTGTAGTTACAATGTCTTTAGAATTATTTCATCTAAATTGTACAGGGAAAGGAGCTGATGATGGAATAAACAATCTTATACCCTACCCTCAAAATTTCCCAGTTTTAAAGAAAGTTTTATTGGTATTTAGAAACTTCAGTTTGTAACTTTAAATGTTAGATGTTTTTTCAAGAAAAAAATGCAGAATTAGAATTGTGTCATCTGACCTGATACTTTAAAAAAAAGGGTTTGCTGTTCACTTTTCAAACTACAATGTACATTGTCAGACTTATGTGGAGTTCTACTAGTTACATAGTTACTTCCAAACAAGTCCCACTGAAATGTTTTTCAGATAAAGTTGGTTAGGATAAGAGCAGTGTTCCCTCCGATTTTCCACCAGTGCTGGGCAGGGGCTCCATTGACCATGACCACAGTGCAGCACTGCATGGCCAGTGACACCCACACAGCTTAGAGGAAACATTGGATAAGGGTATTAGATGCAGTCATGCCAAAATTGGTCTTACAAGGAGAATGCACACCTTTTTGCTAAAATACACATTTATGCACATATACTTGGGTTCAGTGTTCCCTCTAATTTTTAGCACCCGCTGGGCAGAACTCTGGCCTCACATGGGCACGACTCCCCCCCCCCCGGTTCTGTCCGGAATGGAACCAAAGGGGCTGGAACCAATGACTTTGGTGCATGGGAGCCCTGCATGAGGGGTGCAGAGGCATGTGTGCAGGCATGCACCTTAAAGGGAACTTGTATATATTAAAAGCAAATATATATAAGTTGCACTCTAAGAAAGTAAGTTTAAAAAAATAATACAGTGGTGACTCGCTTGATGAGGATAATTCGTTCCATTGAAATCGCTGTACAGCGAAATCCTCGTCAAGCGAAATGAAAGAGCCCATTGAAATGCATTGAAACTGGTTCAATGCGTTCCAGTGGGCTAAATACCTCAGCGTCCAGCGAAGATCCTCCATAGGGATGGCCATTTTCGGTGCCTGTAAAGCGAGGAATCCGTCCTGAAAACACAGCGGGGAGCCATTTTACACAGCGGGCTGCCAATTTAGAGCTGCAATCACCTGTTTCTAAATCATCGTTTAGCGAAAAATCAGTTTCCGAAGCAGGGAATCGATCCTCGTCAAGCGAAATTTCCCTATCTAAATATCGTTTTGCAATCGCAAAAGCGATCACAAAAACTTCATCGTCAAGCTGTTTTGTTGTTTAACAAGGTAATCATTAAGCAAGGCACCACTGTATCTCTGAGATTAAAAGGGTAATTGGAAGTTTACTTTTATTGATATAATTGTAATCAAAATTGTGGCTGCTGGCTTATTATTTTGTATTCTGATGATTATTTCAATGGATGGTGGCTTAGCAGATAAAAACCATTATTGCGGAAGCAAGTTCACTCAACAGATACTTCATTTTCCTTCTTACCTTTGTTTCACCCAGAAAGCCTCTGTAAAATTTCAGGACAATACACAGGACACTGTTAAACATATGTTAAGTGGGATGGTGATGGTAGAGGGATTTCTGAATTGGAATCTTTCTGTGAATAATACAAGGTTCTCATATAGTGGAGATAACACCATTGTTTGTTTGTACCTCTGAAAGTTGGGAAATTTTAAATCAAGCCTGTGGGCCCTAGCTGCATTCTGGTGGGAGAGGACCATCCCAGAAACTCCAGTTTAATTCCTGCCTCTACTCTTAGGTAGAACTCATTCTTCTTTGCTATCTTCTTTTCATTCCCCCACCCCATCATCTCTACTTCATTCCCCTTTTCTTCACCTCTACTATTGTGGTGCTATTGGTACAGGAAGAAGACAGTCCAGGCTTTTCCACACAACCAAGGAGCAGGGCACTGCCCTACTATCTGGAGGTGTGGAGGGAGGGCTAGTAGTACCCCTAGCATCACAGTGAAACCTACAAAGTGGTACTCCCAAGATGCCAGCCTTCTAGTCCTTTTAGGACATTGGGGCACCAAGAGGGAGCAACTGACAGAGGGGTGAGTAATGACAACAGAACCCCAGATTTGCTACTCCCCATCATCAGTGCACAATCTCTGAATCTGTTGTTCTACTCTTGGATGAAAGCTGGTAATGGCGGTGAATGGTTGGGTTGACGAGCCATGGAGTTTTTGTCACTTTCTCACCAGCTACTAGGTTAAACATGGGAGATGGATGGATGAAGAGGAAATGCCCTCACCAGTTTACAAGTGCATTCAGACCCTCTAACTGGAAAAAACAGAGAGAAAGAAAAACAACAGAAGGACCGTTCCTCTTCCTTGTATCTTCTTTAGAGTTGCCATGAATATCATCCATACTGAAGGATGATCTGAAGTAAATCATCTTGCTATTGTTGCCGTTGACTCTGTGGTGCATAAAAAGATTGCCAAGGGAATAGGTGACATTCTGAAGCATGCAGCAGGTATGCTAGCCTAACCCTTCTTCTGCCCCAGGGAACAAAAGTGAAAATAGATCAATACAATGCTTTTAGACCTGGAGCAATCCCTGTCTCCCCTCCCCACGTTGGAAAATAGGGACCTGAAATCTTCAGTCCCCTTCTTCTCCTCCAAATAAAGATGAAGGGGACTTCTTCAAGGAGGGAGAAGAGGACATGGGAAAAAGTTAACTCCCAGTCTTCGTCTTGCCTCTTGTAGGTAGACAACTTTTGAATTTTAAGGAACAAAGCCATGAAGATCTTGGGCCCCAAATATCTGGAAATCCCTGTCAAGCCTGTAGATTCAGGCCTCCACGAAGGCTCTGGATGCTTTTAAGAAGACCCCATCCACTGATTTTTTCTGATCCCACACAACAGTCAGAGAAATGGGATTCAGCTTGGTTTAAACTGCCACCTACAGTTAAGAGACTGTGATAGGTTGCAACACTTCTTATGTATCTGCTTTAGTATCTTCTTTCATATGCGCAAAGAACAGGGAAGATACCTTAAAAATCTAAATGACAGAAGGGCAAAGTCAGCAGTTTTAAAAAGTAAATGAAGCATTAGCAGTCAAGACCATCCACACCACAGTATTCATCATGACCAGCATGGCTCCATCTATACACATGCATTCTGAACAGGAGATCTTGCTATTGGCATGTTGCAGGGGACCCAAATTAAAGATGTTATAAGACCACATTGTGAGCTTTCATGGTTGGTTGAGCATGAACGGTAAAACAGCCCATAAGGCAATGGTTTCTGCAATCTGTTTTTTTCTCCACGAGGGAATTGCACAGGGTCTGACCTTTAACAACAGAAGGCAAGCAGCTGCTCTGCTGTTAGTCCCTTCAGTACCTTCTTAGTGATGATAACAAATTCTTGAGAGGTGTGACTAATCAAACTGCTTGGCATATTACATGTAGTACTGAAGGTACATGCAGAAGCTTCATTTAAATCTTTAACGCACCATGTTCCTCAAACATCTGTCACTTAAATTACTTTTTTCTGATCTCCATTATATGAGCACATAGAATATCAGAACTGGCACAATATTTTTAATGAAAAAATACTTCATAATTTTAGACTATATTGTTTATTCTAACGGTTAGTAGTTCTTTGCATAAGGTACAGGAAGTGATTTTTGTCTTTATTTCAATCCAAAGATTTCTAGACTGCTGGAGACGGAATGGCATAAATTCCGTATTAGAGATGGGGACAAACCACAAAAGTGATTCATCCTGCTTCATGGTCCGTCAGAGTTGACGAAGCATGACTCTCCTCCCCATGAACCAACAAACCACGAATCTATTTGTCGATTCATCGGGATTTTTTGTCTTTAAAAAAAGCTGACCATACCCACAGTCTGCCCCCTTCCCACTACCCCTGCTGCCTACCTACCTTGGCTGCTGCAGTCTCTGCCACCACCATCCATGGCAGTCTGCACCACGACGGCCTCCACAGTCACCATCCACTGCCGTCCGCTGCGATGGCCTCTGCTGTGATGGCCTGCCTTAAGGGATCTTTGCAAAGATGGTGACTGCAGCTTCCCTGCCTAAGAGAAGCTGCAGCCATCATCTTTGCAAAGGGCAGCCTAGATTCCCATAAGGCAGGCTAAGGCAATCCGGGCTGCCCTTTGCAAAGATGGTGGCTGCAGCTTCCCTGCCTTAAAGGAAGCCATAGCCACCATCTTTGCAAAGTGTCCATTGTGGCATGCCATGGCTGCGGCGGTCGGCGATGGACGGCAGTAGTGGCTAAGGTAGGAAGGGGAAGGGGAAGGGGTGGGGAAAAGAAGGCGGGGTAGGTAGCTGTGGGGCTGGCTGGCTGCCTGCTGATTGGCCCCCCAATCAACTGATTGGCAGGCCCATAGGCAGAATGGGAAGGCCATTCGTATGGGGAAACAAAAACAAATACTGTATTCATTCCTTCATATTCATTTGGGGTCTCTGGAGGTCACGAATACGAAGGGGTGAATAACGAATCAGCAATTTTAAATATTGCCATTCATTTTTTTATTCGTCCCCATGTCTATTCTGTATCCAAAGAGCCATAAAAACCTACCTTAAGAGGACAAGGGAATTCAGGAGGTCTGTTTGTTTCTTTCCAGTCTTTTAATATGGGGGAAGGTGAAAAGAGCCACCTTGGCTAGATATATTAAGGTTGCTATGGCCATATTGCATGAAAGCTCTAGAATGGTTGCTTGTAGAATATCATGACTCACTCTACTAGGAGTGCATTTACTATAGCAGTGTGTGAGAATTAGAGTCATCCATTTGGATGTGTTCAGGGCCACTACTTGGAAGGTGCTTTCGTTTTGTTGGGCACAGTGGGGTCACTTTAAACGAGATGCATTGCAATAATTGGTGTATTGATAGTTCAGATGCTTTATGCTGGCTTGTTGATGGTGAGGGTTGGCAGCATTTAGCTCACCTTGGAATGAACTGAAGTTTTGGTAAGTGTCATGGTAAGGCTGCTCTCTGTTATGGGAGAAAGATGGATTAGTACTTAATTTGTTTATTCTCTGCAGAGGAAGGAAAGCATCCTTTACCAATGTTATTACCAATAGAAATAACATAAATGCTGTTAGTGATTAGTGGGGCTTTTCATTCCCTGGTGTTTGGACAGACTGAGAAGGGCATGTTCTTGTTTATCCTACCATGGTAGATAATACACAAGGTTACAATTAAAGCTATCATTGCTCAGTTCTTTTATTTTCAGTTTGTTGTGTTTATTTTTTTATAGACTGTAACTTAAAGATGAGATTAGCATTCTAGGGTTGTCCTTTCCTCTATATAATATCTAAGGCATACAGGGTTGATTTCAAAATACCCTCATATTAGAATGAGAGAGAATAAGCCATGGTAAGATTTTCCTTCCACTGTAGAGAATGAACATGTTACAGTACGTACTGACATAATTTCCTCCACCCAATTTTGGCCAGTTCCTATTTCCCACTGTAAGAATTGTTTCATAATTGTCTCTTGCCCAACGCCCACTTCCACCAATCTTGAAGCCTTAGGAATATAGGTGATTAGGACAGAGAATAAAATAATTCCATAATTCACAGAATACAGGTGATCAAAAGCACAAAATTATTTTGGGGTAAGGCTGTGAAAGCCCTTTGTGAACAGCCATGTTTTGAGTTGTTTTCTGAAGCCAAGGAGGGAAGGGGTCAGTTGCAGTCAGGAGAGAGAGTTCCATCACAATGCAGCCGCCACAGAGAAGACCCGGTTTCAAGGTGTTGATCTGGGTGGCCACCCATAACATCCTTGTATGTGAGATGTAAGTTGGTCATTTTGAGGGAGAGGCACTCAGACAAGTAGCAAGGCCTTAGATCGTTCAGGGCTTTGAATCTCAATATAAGCACCTTGTATATAATGAGTAGTATCTGTACTGTATTTTCTAATTCTTCTAAAGGACGTGGTACTTGGCTTCAGAGCAAATGGGAAAACTTTGTGTAAAGTAAAAATGTTCCTTTTTTCGCTTCCATTTGCTAGTATTAGCATGTGATAGATGAGGACACTAATAATAACTTTTGTGAACTTCTTTCCATGCCCCTTTTTACGCTTTCAGGTGGATAACATGTTTGTAATTCTTTTTTATGCACATTTCTTGAGTCAAAAGCAATATCTTGTTAAAATAGAATAGTAAAAAGAAAGTGATGCAACGAAAAGTGCAGCAGTACACCTTGGAATAGTATGGTATCCCATACAGTTATTCACATGAAGACATTTTTTATTATGGAGTATTATATTTTTACAGGTGCTCCTGATAAATGAACTTGAATCAGCCATGCACCAGCTGTACAAACAGCGAGCTTCCCGCCTTGTCCAAAGACGACAAGATGATATAAAAGATGAATCTTCGGAGTTTTCAAGCCATTCAAGTCAGTCCATCTTGAAGGTTTTTATTATTCATTAAACAACCTTGTTTACTTAGTGCAGTTTTAACTTAAACTACAAAGCATGTTTGATTTGAATATGTTTGAAAGGAAGTCAGTTTAAAGAATCTGAGCTCAAGTTCTATGGTGCCTTTTTTGTTGTATGTCTCATGTGATTGAAAACAGTGCCATCTTGCTTTAATTCCTTTCTACAGATTAATTATGTGTGATTATATACTTTAGTTCACTCCTGAAAGCATTTTACAAGATATTCTCTAAACTGGAAAGTCATTAATGCTACTCTACGAACAATTTTTGTTTCAGTAACAAGGCTTTCTGATGTTTAAAAATTAAAAACACAAACAGTTCAGTTTGCCAAAACCTTCCTTACTTTAAACATTACAAGGATAGAAATAATTATTGAGCTAGCATTTTTGCATTTAATGCATATCTATATATATATATGCATTGTATATACTATACAGTTTAGATGGGAGAGAATTAATAAATCATACTGTGCCAAAGATAGGTTAAAAGTAAGTATAATATTTCCTGCGATGTTACATTTTCTTTGGTGCCAGACTGGTGGGCCATGTTCCGCTACCAGTCCCCTCTGCCTTCTCTTCCTCCTCAGCTCCCAGTTTTGTCTTGCTTTTAATGTGCAGCATGTAGCAGCCATTAGATATCAAGGAATATCCCACTTCAATGCTAATTGTCTAATACCAGCTGAAAATCTGTTAATCCTTGTTGCTAATTATGTTTCACCAAGAACAGATACCTGACCCTTTATAGATGTACTAAGGACTTATTTTTCTTCTCTTTTTTCATAAATGCTGAATACTCATGTCTTCTCTAATACAATGTTTATGTTATGAAAAGATTTTAAATATTTTTCTGTTTACTGAAAAGTGCAGAATATGTGGTGAGAGTGGTTTTATCCTTTTTATTTACTTTGCACACAATAATGAAGACACTAATTGACAAAGTTAGAAATCTTTCCAGAATATAACATCTGTTTTAGCTGTAGGAGTGGATGAGGAAGAGAATAGGCAGCTTTACAACTATATTATAGATATTTTAGGATTTGCTCTCAGAAACACACAAGTGCAGTCATGATTATGCATTCTGAAACAGGATATGAAGTTCTAATTTCAGTGTTTGTACTATTACAGATAAAGCACTGATGGCACCAAACCTTGATTCTTTTGGACGAGACAGAGCACTGTATCAGGAGCATGTAAAAAGACGGACTGCTGAAAGGGAAGCTAGAAGGTACAGCAGCACTGAGTCTTCCTTATGGGGCAGGCGGGGGGGGCATGGCAATTCAGGTATACAGCTCCATGGAGCATTGGTGGTGGTACCTGGGGCTAATAGGAGATGGAAGAACAATAGGTTTCTCACTCCTGCCTTTTATTTATTGGAATAGTATTTAACTACGCCATATAGTAGTGGTCTTTGTTGATTAGGGGATGTAGTTTTTCCCTACATAGTTACAGATTTTCAGATAAATAAACATGTATCATAAAGAATCACAGCCTTTAGATTTCAAGACTTGAGCAGGGATGTTAATGAAAGGACCTTTTAGAGGTCAGTAGTTCACAAGATTGCCATAACTGAGAGGTGATTTGGCACATAACAATAACATAAAAAATAGATGTGGTTCACCATCCTCATAAAACTGTTTAACACAGCATGAACAGTAGATTGTGGTGATTGGCTTCAACTGAGGTTCATATCTCTGTTTGCAGCAGAAAAGGAAAGGCTTTTCTTCTGTAACAGTATTTTTATCTTATCATACAGGAGAGGTTGGTATTCGTATGTTAACATTTTGTTTTGTGTTCCTGTTAACAGAGCTCGTCGTAGACTTGCTAGAGAGCAATCTGGAAAGATGGCTGATCATCTTGAAGGCCTTTCCAGTGATGATGAAGAAACTTCAACAGATACTACAAACTTCAATATGGAACGAGGTTAGATGACCACGCCTTACTCTAGAAGGCATCATAATCTCTAAATCACAATATTTTTTGGAGAATGTATCCAATGATTAGGCAGCATGATACAGTATATCAGAACTCAGATGGGCAAAGTCTTGGCATTCCTGGTAATGCTGGACTATATCTCCTGGTATACTTCTTTGACTATTTTAGCTAATGGTGGTGGAAAGTTGTAGTTCAGCAACATCTAAAGAGCAACACATTGTCCATCCTGTTCAAACTATGTTATAATAAAAATCTTACATTGAAGCTTATAACTGTTATCCTATTCCTAAATCCTAAATCTCACCAGTGAATTGTTACTGTAGACGTTTCCCAAGCCAAGTAACTTGGTGCATAATAGGGAAGGCTTATGCTTAACTTATGGCAATTCTCAGCTGAGATTTATGCCAGTTGAGTTACACCAGCAGGTGTAACTAGTTGGATGTAGCTAGTGTTCTCTTGAGGTATAACTGAAGAAATGAAGTTAAAGGCAGCTTCTGAAAAGTGGATGGAGAAAACCAAGACTCAGTTTATTTTGTTGCAGTGGACTAACAGTTACTTGGGAAACAAAAGGTTGTTTAGCTAATGTAAAGAAGACAGTGATATAGGTAATAACATTTCTTGATAGTTTAGTTACTTGAAAATTGGTTTAGTAAACAGCATTGCACAATTGTACCCCTGGCCCATCACCAAAGGAAATAGGAAGCTTAAATTATTATTATTTTTATGATAATGAAATGTTTCTATCCTAGATCGCATTTTGAAGGAGTCTAGCAAAGTTTTTGAAGATGTGTTAGAAAACTTTTCCTCCATTGACTGCATTAAGACACAGTTTGAAGCCTGGCGTTCTAAGTATTTATCTTCTTACAAGGATGCTTACATTGGTCTTTGTCTACCTAAGCTGTTAAATCCTTTAATAAGACTTCAGTTACTTACATGGAATCCTCTGGAGGTGAGAAACATTTAAACTCTCAGTGGTTCCAGTTCATTTAATAAGGCAAAACCATCAAATGGAAGTGATTATGTATAACGTTGTAATATTAGAACAGGATTCTAAATTAACTGAGAAGCTGTCTTTTTGAAGTACAATGGTGCCTTGCAAGACGATTGCCTCACCAGACAAATGGATCCGGTGAGGTTTTTGGTGCCTCACAAGACTATTGTTCCTGTGGCCGTTTTTCGCACGACGAACACTGCTTTTTTTTTTTTGCACCCTTTTCCCCTGCCTTCGGTAAGCCTCCGAACAGAAAAAGGCTTTCTTTTTTTTTTCCTTTTTCCGTTCGGAGCCTTACTGAAGGCAGGGGAAAGGGCCGCAATCTTCAAAAATGGTGCTGGGCTAGCCTCTGCAACTGCCGCTTTGAGGGCCCCCCGCCAGTCTTCCGATGGTGCAAGGAAAGCCCCGGGGGACCTCCTAAGGGGGTGATCCGGGTGAGGGGGCCCCCTGCCAGTCCTCTGATGGTGCTTCCCCAGCTCCCTAACTGGTAAGTGACTTTTTAAAAAAATCCCATAGGAATGCATTAATTAAATTTCAATGCATTCCTGTGGGAAACCATAGCTCGCAAGACGAAAATATCGCAAGACAACATTAACCCCGTAACGAATTAATTTCATCTTGCGAGGCACCACTGTATTAGCCTGGTCCTATAATGGAAAGCCAATGTTTTATAGTGAATCAAATGATGGCCTAGCATTCAAGAGACTTGGGTTCAAATCCCTGCTTGCCCATGGAAACCAGGGCATGTGGCAGTGGTAAATGCTACTCCTTAAATACCTCGTATAGCTTGAAAACCTTGTTGGAGTTGCCACAAGTCTTAACTTCTTAGTCCAAATGTTAAGCCTAAAATACTTGCTTTGTTCATCTGCTTCAAGTAGAAAAGATAGACTTTGAGAGCCTTGGGCCAGATCCAGTCTGTTGAATGTCTTGAATAGTCCTCATCCGCCTGTGCTTCTCATGGAATCTTGGGTAGGCTGCTGGCTGGCTAAGCACAGGCATGGGGGCAGAGAGTTAACTTCACTGCTTTTGGGGAAAGACCCTGAATAGGCAACGCTTATCTCTGGAGGTTTTTGATTGCTTAAAGATAGCTTAGAGATGAGTTTTCTCTGCCCTGCATCCTCCCCAAAGCAGTCTCTCCATTCGCCACCACCCTAGAGTGGACTGCACTGATGCCTAGATTGGTGTGGATTTGTCTGCTCCAGCCTATGTTTTCCCTTTTACATAAATGGGGAGACAGTGTTGCTGACTTCCCAAGGTAGGGTAATGTCAGATCAATAGACAGTGCCTTCTGATATTATCCAGCCTGTAGATAGTTACCTAACTGCCACCTGTGCCTTAAAGAATTATACAGAAGGCACTATAGTGAAGTGGCATTTGCAAATAGATACAGTGGTGCCTCGCATAGCAACGCTAATCTGTGCAGCAAAAATCGCTGCTAAGGATTTCGTCGCTATGCGATTTTTAAAAGCCCATAGAAACACATTAAAACCTGTTTAATGCGTTCCTATGGGCAAAAAACTGACCTTAAAGCGAAGATCCTCCATACGGCGGCCATTTTTGCTGCCTCTAAAGCGAGGAATGGGCGCGAAAACACAGCGGGCGACCATTTTTTTTACCCGGTGGCCATTTTGGAACCGCCGATTAACTGTTAAAAAATCATTGCTTTGCGATGATCAGTAAGCGAAACAAGGAACCGATCATCGCAAAGCGAAAAAACCCATAGGAAATATTGCAATGCGATCGCTTTTGCAATCGCGAAAAGCTAATCGCTATGCAGTTTCATTGCTAAACGGGGCGCCCGTTAAGCGAGGCACCACTGTACTAAAATAAAATATGACTTTAATGTAGCATGCAATGTACGAATCTGAGAGATTTTTAAATGGATTGTGCTCTGGTTTTAAATGGGTTTAGTATTGATTTTAATGCTTTTAATGTAAGACTTGTTTCTTTTTAATATTCGTATACTTCCTGTTTTTAACTTTTCAATATTGTCTTTAATTATGTAGGCTGCCTTGGTTCCTTTTAAAGAGAAAGGTGGTTTAAAAATATTTTAAATAAATAATAAAACAATAAATAGTGTATATAGTACTGGCATTGCAAGGACATTCTCACAGTAAAGCATCCAAACTAAACATTTGAGCTTGCACATGTAGGGAGAATTTACCCTTGGTTTGGTTGTGTTAAACATCTGTGTGAAACTTGTATTTGTATTCATAGGAAAAGTGCCAAGATTTTGAGAGTATGTTGTGGTTTGAATCCTTGCTATTTTATGGATGTGAAGAGTATGATCAAGAAAAAGATGATGCTGATGTTTCCTTGTTGCCTACTATTGTGGAAAGAGTGCTCTTACCTAAATTAACAGGTATTTGGGAATGACATATGTTATACTATTGTTGTTGTTGTTTAGTCGTTTAGTCGTGTCCGACTCTTCGTGTCCCCATGGACCAGAGCACGCTTTCTTTATGGTCCAGCTCTCACTTCCATACATCACTACAGGAAAAACCATAGCTTTGACTATTTGGACTTTTGTTGGCAAGGTGATGTCTCTGCTTTTTAAGATGCTGTTGAGGTTTGTCATTGCTTTCCTCCCAAGAAGGCGTCTTTTAATTTCGGGGCTGCTGTCACCATCTGCAGTGATCATGGAGCCCAAGAAAGTAAAATCTGTCACTACCTCCATATCTTCCCCTTCTGTTTGTTATAGATAACAGTATAGTATGGATATGTTGTTTTATAGTGGTTGATATAACCATATTTTGCTATTTAGTTTTGCAATGTAGTAATCCTTCTTCTGTTTTTTTCTAGTACTTGCAGAAAATGTATGGGATCCATTTTCCACAACCCAGACATCTAGAATGGTAGCTATTACCCAAAAACTAATCAGTGGCTATCCTTCTGTAGTACATGCAGAAAACAAAAACACACAGGTAAGAATTATTGTTAATGTTATTTGCCAACTGCTATGTGTGGTTGCTACCACTGACATTTATTTTTGTGTTTGTTGGGAATAATTTCTAATTCAGTAAAGGATAAAGAAGCAGAATGAGAAAAGATGCTGGTACTACTGTATGTGCTAACTTGTTATTTCATGGGATAGTTTGATGTGCTTTCTGCACAGACATACAGTAGTGCAGGGAGGGGATGGAAAATCTCCAGCCTTCAGTTGAAATATCCTTCCTGTGTGGCCCACAGTGTTTTATCTGACTGTCCACTCCCCAAGCCCTGCCCCTTGTTTACACGGTATGGTACTGTACAGTTCCACACTTCTGTATTCCAGGAGGTGTAGCTGGTTAGGAGACAACATTTGAGAAACTTTTGTCTCTTGATTCTTACATTCATGTACAGAGCTTTTATCGTCTTCTGATTTCATCTCCATCACCCCTACTTCAGCTGCTTTCTTCACACCATTCCCAAAGTATATATACAGAAAAACTGACCAAGGAAGCCTCTTTAAAAGTCAACACCTTTCATATTTCAAAACTTTTTTAATCATAAAGAGCAGTGCTAATATTGGAACAGAGTAATGATTTGGAATGATCTCTAGGAGGTATCCATTGGGGGAAGTATAGTTTGATTTGAATTTAAGGATTCAGAATGGTTATTGATTGGTTGGAGGCTATGTGTGAAGGACAATTGATGAATTAATGGGTGCATGCTTCTGTGACATGGTATTGATCATCTGCATGTTTGTGTGAACAAGTGGGAGGACTTTGGGAGACTGAGGAAAATAAATTTACTAGGTATTTGACTTCCCATGCACTTCCTGGAGTAGTCCTGGGTAAAGTGCGGCCTGAGGGCCACGTGCGGCCCGAGGGCCACATACGGCCTGCGAGCCACTCCTGTCGGTTGTTGCGCCAGTTGTTCAAGCCCAAGACAGACTGGATTTCTCTCACTGAGAGAACATCAAAACCATTTATAGTTTTTTGTCTAAAGTTGATCAGTTGCTTATCTTTAACATACCGCAACAACCCTCTTTAGTATTTGTGAAGATTAACAAGTTTAAAATAAAAACAATCATAACATCACGGTTTCATTTTATTTTTAGGTAAAGTTGGTTCGGCCCACAAACACAGTTCAAATTTTTCATGTGGCCCCCTTTAGAAATTAATTGCTCACCCCTGTCCTGGAGCCAACACAGTCCTGGGGTGGAAAAAAATCTTCCCCACTCTTGCATTGTTAGATCATGAATATTTTGCTTGTACTGCATTCATTCCAATTTATTCTTAGTATTTCATGTAGTATTGTGGTACTGGAAAATGTGCTCACTCCCTTAGCACATACACAAGAGGAGAAAGTGTCCCTAACTTGAAGAATGTAAAGTCTTTGCTTTACAAATCTGAACTACTAGTAGTCTGGATTCCACATGCATTGATTAAAGGATATCTTTTGCAATAATTTCTAATTTACTAGAACTCTCTCGTGGAAACATGTAGAGCATCAAATGTCCTAAAAATCGTTTGTGAGAATTTTTATTTGACTTGACAATGTAGGCAATTTTAGTTTTCTTGTGTTCTTCATGGTCTCTGATTCATACATACGGGTTCTTCTGTGCCTGCACAGACAACCTCAGAATCTTCCAGAGCCTTAAAAGCCATTAGCCTGCCATGTCTCAAGTTACACATTCCACCACCCAACAGCTTGAGTGCTCCAACAGTGGAGCCATTCAAGAAAAAATTGGATAACCATCTGTTAGATCTGCTCTGATTTGGATTCCTGCATTGAGCAGGGTGTTGGGACTTGATGGCCTTATAGGCCCCTTCCAACTCAGTTATTCTGTGATTCTATTCCTCAGTTCCTTTTTTGACAGCCACTGTGAGGCAACATAAAACTTTCAGAGCATTTTTGTAATCATGGGAAGCAACCAGAAAAGGCTTCTAATGTTGATGGTAGACGACAGATCTGGATTTAGGTTCGTGGTGGTTAGAGTCATGTGTCAGACCTGGGGATGGGCACAAGCCATGTTTTGGTGCGGTTTGGTGAATTGGGCCCCTAAGGTGTTGCACGGGCATCCTGGATTCCCTGCTCCACCACCTCTTACAGCAGACCTGGACAAAGTGCTGCCCATGGCCCACATGCAGCCCGCGAGCTGCTCCTGTCCATTCCGCCCGTCACCATTCCTGTCCGGCCCACCTGTCGCCGCTGAGTGAGCCAGTCACCCAGTATGGCAGTAAGCAAAACTCACGGGATCCGACACTGGGATCTCGTGAGTTTCAACTGTTACTCTTGAATCGCAGGCTGTGGAGCCTGCGGCTCAAGAGGCAGAAACAATCCTTGCGCAGGCAACATGATGACGCATCACGTTGCTTGTGCAGGATAGAAGACAGTTGGAGAGGAATGCCTGTGTAGGATAGAAGACAGTTGGAGAGGAAGGCTGTGGGGGAATGGAGGACAGGTGAGTTAGCTCAGTGTCTGGGTTTTTTCCCTCCCCCCCACAGTGAAGAAATTACAACACTCACATAGTTCACTCCCTAAAAAGTAGTTCATTCACCGCAGGGCATCACCCAATGGGTTTCATTTTATTTTTAAGTAAAGTTGGTTCAGCCCCCGAACACAGTTCAGATTTTTTATGTGGCCCCCTATAGAAATTAATTGCCAACCCCTGTCTTACAGGCACCCACCCAGAGGCAGTGCCCCGGGGTTCACTGCCCCACCTCCTCCTCTATTACTTCATCATACTAATTGACAAAGGAAACATTTTCAAATTCTTTTAAAGGACACTTCACAAGAGTGGTTGCTGCTTCTATAGCTTTCTTGAAGGGAATCGAGATGAACAGAATTTGGAAGGCAGCGACTTGCTCTCCAGCTTATGTTTGCTAAGCGTTACAAACTGGATGTCAAGACAAAGATTGATGCATCCTAAGGCTATGCTTTAATATCATCAGTGTTAACATGATATCCCACCAACCCAGTAAGTTAGCTTGTCAGTCACCCACAGACACCACAAAGAAAAAAACATGTTACTAACCTGTAAATGTAGTTCTTCAGATTCACACAACCCACCCACTTTCCCTTCTGTCTGCCATGCAGATGTTGGTCTTAGGTGATGGAGCGTGTGCTCTGTTGCGAGAGTTGGGTTAATGGCTTTTAGGCTCTGGAAGATTCCGAGGATGTTGGTGCAAGTGCAAAAGAACCCATATATATGAATTACTGTTGCACAGCAGGTTATGGGACAGGTTCTTACAGTTGTGGTCCAGTATAACTTTATGTGGATATTTATGTGACATGATTGCCCAACAGGTACTCCCTGTGGAGAATAATGTGTCTCAGTACTGCGTAGCAATAATGAAGAGGTGGTAAAGTGGAGCAAGTCCCAGAAGTTATCATAGAGTTTGATAGGTTTCTCTGCCTCTTCTTCTCCTGTTACTTAGTGCTTTCCCTCCTGCCCCCAGTTAAATTGTGACTTATAGTAATTCTAAAAATTACAGCAGCTGCGGTTTCCTCTTCAAAAATACTTTTGAAATACTTTTTGAAATAGGAATCACCAGTCAGACCTTCATTCCAGTTGTGAGCAATTAAAAAAATGGGAGCAGATTTTAATTAGAAGAGGAGAGCAGTTATAGGTTATTCAGCTGATGGGTTTAGCTCCAGTAATAATACAAGCTGGGGATTCCTAGTTCTAGCCTATTCCTTTGATGAGTTGCATTTAAATATTACTCTGAAGAGCTTTTTGTGGGATGCAGGCAGCTATAGGAAGGGTAAAATGACAATAAATTACTGTTAGGTGAGCAAGAATCAATTTGCAGCTTGTAGAGTTTAATCCAGTGTTTGGCTTTGTGAGCTTTTTGTTCAATACATGCTGGAGACTGATCCCCAGTCTTCATTAGAAAGATCATTTGAGTTCCACTGACTTTACTCTTTTATTTTGACTGGATTAATTAGATACTATAAAGTAGAATAGACATTTGGTTACATATTTCTGTGTAGAAATAGTAAAATAATAGATAATTCATTAATTTAAACTAAAGGAAAGATAGTTGAAACAATCTCAGATCCAATCTAATTTATTTAGGGTTAATCTTTACAGGAGGGACGTGGTAGTACTGCGGGTTAAACCGCAGAAGCTTCTGTGCTGCAAGGTCGGAAGATCAGCAGTCGTAAGATAGAATTCACGCAACAGAGTGAGCTCCTGTCGCTTGTCCCAGCTCCTGCCAATCTAGCAGTTTGAAAACATGCAAATGCAAGTAGATAAATAGGTACCACCATGGTGGGAAAGTAACGGCATTCCATGTCTAGTCGTGCTGGACAAACGCTTATTCTATGGCTTCGAAACAGGAATGAGCACCGCCCCCTAGAATCAGACACAACTGGACATTTGTCAAGGGGAACCTTTACGTAATCTTTACAGGAGTATTTGGTCGGGTTAGTTCTAAAATGCACTTTGAACGTTTTTTTTTAAATCTTATGTTAAATCTAAATTCTTTCAGACCTTATTAAAAGCCCTCCTGCTTAGAATGAGGAGAACATTAGATGATGATGTATTCATGCCGCTTTATCCCAAAAGGTATGATTGCATTTCTTTTTTAAATTTCATTTGTGTTCTTGGATGTTACAGATTTACATATTGCTTCTGTATTGTCATCCTGTTAGTGATTTATATCTCCTGTTCTACTGACACATAAATCTATCTCTCTCACTTTTTAAAGTGTCCTAGAAAACAAGAACTCCGGTCCTTATTTGTTTTTTCAGCGTCAGTTTTGGTCTTCAGTTAAGGTAAGCAAAGAGTTGCAGGTAATATCACTGAAATATTCTTTTGCCATGGATAATTGGCTTGTTTTAGGCAGAAGGCATCAAGACTTTAATACTGTGTCCTTAGATTAGCGATGGCGAACCTATGGCACGTGTGCCACAGCTGGCACGTGGAGCCCTTTCTGCCGGCACGCGAGCCATAAGTCGCCGGATCGCTATTCCCCCCCCCCAATACACAAACAGCCAAACCTGATCAGGCAGCTGCAACCATGGTGCTGGTGCCTGGACAGGCAGCGGGTCACGATCTGGAGCAACTGGTGCTGGTGGAGGATCTGGAGTGGGGTCTGAAGCACCTCTGTGCCTGGGATTCCTCCTTCCACTGGTTCTTCCACTGCTGCGGCATACCGCCCCATTTTTTTTTCCAATTTGGGCACGTGAGGCCAAAAAGGTTCACCACCACTGCCTTAGATCATTATGAAAGTTCTTGGTAGTCCCCTTTTTATGAATTGGCTCCTCCTGAAAGCCTGTCCAGAAGCCATAGGAAAATTGTAACAGTATATGTTGTATTATGGAGAGGGAAGGGGCAAACTTTACACATCGGGCAGAAATAGGGTATTTTAGGAAGTGTTAATGCTGTATATAGTTGTGGATGCTTAAAGGAAAATGTGTCCTTGTGTATCACTGTTAGAATGTCTTGTATTTGAGAAGTCATTGAGCAAATTGATCATTTCAGTAAACCTCCAAACTTTTCAGTAAACGAACTGAAATGCTATCTGTCCTAATCAAACTGCTACTGAGTTCTAATAACCTGTCTTATTTCTGGGAGTCTCCTACTATGTCTGGTCAGGGATCTTACATTTGATCATGTAGAGAATTCTTAATACTGCAGTGCCTACTTCTCTCCTGGCAGGAATATGCACTATTTCATACCGTGTTTCCCAGAAAATAAGATAAGGTCTTATTTTAATTTTGCTCCAAAAATGCATTAGGGCTTATTTTCAGGGAAGGTTTTTTTTTCCATGTACAACAATCTATGTTTATTCAAATACAGTCATGTCATCTTCTGGTTGCTACACAATTATGGAGGGTGGGGTGGGCTTTCACTTAACTAGGGCTTATTTTTGGGTTAGGGCTTATATTACGAGCATCCTGAAAAATCATACTAGGGCTTATTTTCAGGTTAGGTCTTCTTTTTAGGGAAGCAGGGTATTTGGTAGGAGGGCTTGATGTTTTACAGCAAACAAATTTCCATGAAAAGTGTTTATTGATGGAGAAAAGAAATGACTTCTAAAAAAACAGAAATTAGGATCTACATGTGCTTGCTTTTGACTGGATTTTACTACACAAATAGTTATTATGCTCATTTATATGTCCTCCCAGGTTGAAACAGACTCCAATAATAGAGCTACAACAAGCTAGTTATCTGTACATTTTGGGTGGTTAACATCATGTGATCACTTCCAAAATGGAGATGTTCCTGTTTGTGTTTCTGATGGTTTGCAGATGTAAAAATGGAGATGTTAATACACATCTATTGCTCTAATTTTTCTTGTTGTTGTTGTTTAATATTCCAGTTATTGGGAAACTTTCTGCAGTGGTATGGCATCCTTTCCAACAAAACCCTACAAGAGTTAGCAATAGATGGCTTGCTAAACAGATACATTTTAATGGCTTTCCAGAATTCTGAATATGGTGATGACAGCATTAAGAAAGCTCAAAGTGTAAGTTAACCGATCATTGTGGTATTTATATTTTCAGAAACTACCTTCTGAGACTTTTACAAATCTATCAGAAAAGCAGTGTGCCAGTTATAATATCAAGGGGTGGGCACTAAATATGGTTAATCTACATTCAGATCCATCCCTGAAGTTCACCATATCACCTAGGCCAAACCATTAGCTTTGCGTTAAAGTACCACATTCAAGGATCATACTAGCTTTTTAAATTTCATCAGCCAAATGAAAATTTGACCCGTAAACACCACTCAGCAACACACTGTGTATTGTCTTGTAAGGCTGCTGACAGCCAGTATGATGTAGTGGATAGAGTGCTGGACTAGGACTCAGACAAATCCTTTCTTCTCAGCATTGAAACTTATTGGGGCAGGGTGCTAGCAGTAATTAACAACATTAACAGCTCTGGATATAGTTAAACATAGTATATTAAATCAGTAGTAATAATGGGAAGTAAAACTAAGTGATTAAACTCCCTATAGTCTATAGTCTTCCTCACTGCTGCATAGCTAGATTTGGTATCCTTCATGTAATGTAGAATGCATAAGCAGCCAGGCTGGCCCATAAATAAAATCCAAATTCCAGTGCAAGGTGATGCCTTGGTATGGCATAATAAAAATCTGTTTAATTGGCATCTGGAAGTGTTTGGTACCTCAGGCATCACCTAAGGCAAGGGTCCCCAACCCCCAGTCCGTGGCCTGGTGCCGGTCTGTGGCCTTTGCCGGACTGGGTCACAGAGACAGATCTCCTGCCCCCGAACTCCCGGCTGCACAGCCCCTTTGTGCATGCATGTGAGAGCTGCACAGCCCCTTTGTGCATGCGAGGGGGGGGGTGCCACACCTCCCGCACACAGACCCCCTTCGCCCCCAACCGGTCCATGGTGTCAAAAAGGTTCGGGACCCCTAGTCTAAGGAGTCCATTTCAGAACATGTAATTTGGTGTGATACTAAGTAGCTCCATGCATTTATTTACTCAAGCATTTTTTTCTCAAAGAATCTTTTTCTAATGTACTATTTAAAGGCAGAACTTATTTGAGTTTTCATGGTGTAACCAATACATCCCTAGTCAAAAGTACAGTTGAGTGTAAAATGTAGCTGTAGTCCTTTGTTGTAAATCTATCTTTTCTTCTCTGTCCTCTAGGTAATCAGCTCCTTTCCTAAACAGTGGTTCACTAATCTTAAAGGAAATAAGACAATATCTCATCTAGAAAACCTTTGTAGATATCTTGTTCATCTTGCTGATACACTATACAGAAACAGCATTGGAAGCTCTGATGTAGAAAAAAGGAATGCAAGGTAACTTGTTTCAATTGTTTAGACTCCTGAGATGGATATTATATTTAAATAACGAGGCACTTTGAATTACACTGAGGGGGAAAAAGCCAGTTAAGCTGTTTCAAGTCCAGTGTTAAATAGTTTAGAACATTAGAAGTGTAGTCTCAGTCTGGGTACAGCTATCCACTGTCCAATGAAATTTTTCTTTCATGTGGATTGAGCATCAGTTTATTCGCCCATATCCAATCCGTCGCTGAACCCATGCCTGAATACATGACTGGTGTCTACATACTGGTAAAACCTGACTACCAAATTCCAGGTGATCACTTGCAAGTGGCTTTATGGGGGATAGAATGGTCCTGAGGAGGCTTCATAGATAAAGTAATAAATCAGCTGAGCTTCTGAAAATCAGAAGTAGAACCAGTGTGACAGTGTTTCCCATTCTCTTGCTTGCCAGGTGCCCTGAAAAAATATAGTGCCAACAAATGCCATTGAGAAGTGCAGCAGGGGTGGATTCATCATTTAGGTCAGTGGTTGCCAACCTGGGTCCCCAGACGTCCTTGGAATACAACTCCTAAAAGCCCTTGCTAGTACTGCTAGTAGTAAAGGCTTCTGAGAATTGCAATCTATTTGAGGATCCAAGGTTGGGAACTACTGATCTAGCTCATCCACCAAGATACTTTTTAAGCTCCAAACCAAGATTGAATGCATTTTATTCACTTTTTTCCATTGCCTCCTTTAGAAAAGCTAGAATGAGGTATTTATAATCTCCAGTTAACTGTCCCTTACATTTTCCCTTACATTTTCCTTTGTTTGAAAAGATTGTTCCTATGCTAAAAGCTTCACTTTTTAAACACAGTGGTGCCTCAAATAACAAGTGCCCCGTTTAATGATGAATCCGCATAGTGATGCGGATTTAGCGATCGCAAAAGCGATCGCATTGCGATGATTCTAATGGGCGAAAATCGCATTGCGATGTTTTAAAACAGCTGATCGGCGGTCCCAAAATGGCCGCCCGCAGCATTTTCGCGCCAATTCCTTGCTTACCGAGGCGGCGAAAATGGCGGCCGGATGGAGGAATTCCACTTAGCGGTGAGTTTTCCCCCCATAGGAACGCATTAAACGGAGTTCCTATGGGTTTTTCCGTTCCATATAGCGACGTTTCCGGATAGCGACGATTTATCCGGAACGGATTATCGTCACTATGCGGGGCACCACTGCACATGAATAAAAATGACCCACACAGGAATTTCCAAACTTTGAGAAAGTTTAGGGCATGGAGTACATGGCTTTTACAGCAAATTCATGAGTCGCGCCTGTGTTCTTATTTCACATTCCACTGATATTTGCTGTGTTGTGCCCTTGCTTCCACTATGAGAGGAACAGAAGAAAATAGTAAGAGCTCATTGCTACAATACTTCTCTGTATCAAAGTGACAGTTGCTACATATGCAGGCAGCAGTACTACATATGCCAGAAAGTACACACACACATATACTGTATGGGCATATACAGATTTGTTTACAACTCTCAGAATAAAACTTCATTTACTAATCTCCCATGCTGCCCTGATTCAAAAATAGGCAGTCACTACTTTTTAAAACATCTTGGCATTTTATTTATGTGTAACTGGTGTGCATATGCCTTTAGGAGATGACTAATTACAGGACATTTGCCTCCGATATTGGCTAGTGGAATACTATTGATGTGTGTACACATTCTCTGATGTATTTTGTAGCTTGTCCTCTCATCAGCCAGATTCATTCATATATCATTCATTAAAAGGAAAAAAATGCTGACATTGTTCATTCTTTTCTCTTTAGGGAGCATATAAAGCAGATAATAAAACTTCTATCAAGTATTCGAGCACTGGACCATGCTGTAACAGTAGCAAATGACCATAATGTGAAAGAATTAAAAATTTTAAGCGAAGGGAAATAAAATTTTGTCAGTTAATTCTGGAATATGAAATCATTCCTGAAATGTAATTGTGTACATATGTAAAGTTTTCTTAATCTGTAAACAACTGATTGTTTTTAATACAAAGTGCATTCTTATATACAGCATCTGTAGTTGTATTAATGTCTTTAAGAAAGTGAAAAGAACACCAGGAAAATGTCCCACCTGCATCTTGTATACAAAGACTTTTATACCCTTGGTGGCTTTCTTAACAGAAAGTTCTGTACTGTAAGATGCATTTAACATTGGATGATCCTCTGATATTTAAACTCCTCATAGTTGTGTTTAAAATAATGGCATATTTTGAAGTCAGAATTTCAGTTGCTGGGATCTGGTAATAAAATTGGAAAAAATGTGAATATGATATGACATTGATAATAGTAAAGAATCTTCCAAATCAGTGCTCAGTGGTAGAGGTCTGTGTGCTGGTGACAGAAAATGTTCAAAACCTTCATCAGGCAAAAGTATTTTTGTACTTAACATTCAAGCAGTAAGTGCGCAGTTGCAGTGAATGTATTTCAAACATGTAAACTAGATTTTCATTCAGGAAGGAACGTTGTTAAAATCTTTATGTATTTTTTAAAAATCAGTTTTTAACTGGGAATTATTTCAACTGGGAATACATTCTCACAATATGATTTAAAGTCCCGTCCTCCAAAAATGTCCATGCTAAATATATACCAAAAGTTTCTTACATTGCTTAATTTAAATATTTAAAGAATAAACCTTTCACTACTGATAGTAGTTTGAATTCTTAAAAATATTCAGTATTGCCACTGTAGTAGATTCAAGTGTACTCCTTTATACTTGAAAAAAGCAGACATTGGAATACTTAATATTGAAACACTGTATTTTACAATGTTCCTGTCATGTAATGTAAAGGAAATATTAAATGTACAGTCTTTTAGACACGAAATCACTTTCTTAATTCCTTACAATAATTTTCAATCCACATGCCTAGCTAGCTTCTATTTCTCAGACTTAAGAGTATTAATACTATGAATGGTTTCCATCTATTGTCTATCCACTTATAATAAGCAGTCATGAGCAGACTGAGGATAGCAGTAATGTCCAACAACTTTACATCTGAATCAACTCTTTTGGTCTGATTTGGATGGAAGCTATGGGAACTGTGCCGTTTCCATTCTGCTGTTACATCCATCCACTGACGGAAGGTATTTTTCAGTGCCACTTTCTGACTCTTCAAGAATTTTGTATAATTCCAAATTATACAAATCCCAGATGCATTCTGATTGGTGAGACAGGCAAATGCCTGTGTAAGTGGGTGGTTTTGTTTAGAAACTTGATTTGAAGAAATCAAAGAAACATAGTTGGAAGGTAATAACATAACATGGCCAGCAAGAAAATTCCAATCTTTTGGGTAAAAGGCTTCCAATAGTTCACCTCACTTACTGCCACTGTCACCAGCTGTTGCTCTTTTTCTTCCTTATTGCTACCACCAGCTGGCCTGCAAGGCAGAAAGACAATGATCAGACAGCAGTGAGGTGGTGAAAAGAAAGAACATCTGAGGGGGCTTAATAGGGACCATCTGCTTGGTTAAGGACTCATAGTAGTTCCTGATTATGCCTATTTTCACTGCCAGTCCTGAACTAAGTACTTATAAATGCTTGCTCCAAGCAGTTATGTTCATTTGGGCTGTCACAGAAAAATAGAAGTTGGTATCCAGCTGATATGTTCCTACAAAAAATGATAAATTTTTCGCATTCCCCGTTTGTTCCTGAGTCCTAACCTTCAGAAAATTATAGTATTACTGTGGGAAGAAGAAATGGGAAAAACCCTGCTTCATTCCTTTGATGACAGCAGAACTCTGTAGACTACAAGTCAGAATTTTTTAAATGCCACAGTGTCTTTGTCTTCTTTAATTTTTAATTTTTCTTTTGTTTTTGCCTGACATGCTAGCACAGATTAACACAGCTACCTCTTCTAAAACTATAAATTGACAGACACATTCTTTAATTCTTTAAAATTCAAAGGTTATTACATTCTTCTTAACAGAATGTCTGCAGTGGTTAACAGAATCATTACAGTATGATTTTGTTATTGGTTTAAAAGACGAAGGTTTTTATCAAGTTACTTCGGTCTACATTCATCAAACTAGCCTATAAGCCTAATTACACTTCCTCAAAGTTAGTCCTGGATTCAATTAACTTGTTTTTTCTTAGTGCTTGCCTGCCTTAGAGTTGGGCTGCCATTTTTTATTATTTTGTTTTTTTTTCCCCTCCTTCCAATTTTATATTGTTTGTTTTCAACATTGTAAGCTACCTTGGGTCCTCTTAAGGGGTCAGGGTGTAAATATTTTAAATACTAATAGACATGCACAGGATTATACTCTTAGAGTAGTAATAGAAGAAGAAATCAAATATGTCCAGCAATTAAGTACAGTATTTTAAATTTAAAATAAGCTGAAATGCATTTTGACATTTCTAGTACCATTAAGGCAGAACTCTTAGAAAACAGGTCATACTCCAGTGTGAAAGGGGGCTGAAAACTGAGACTAGATTTGTCTCATTAGCAGCAATCCTAATGGAAGACAGTTTCCTAAAAGCCAACCCAGTGGGACTGTCTCATTCTGAATACATATTAATAATGTTATCCAACCTATCAAATTTATTCAAATTTTAGCCAAAGGCCATTAAAACATTGGATCAGTACATGAAGCCAATAACAAACCAATAAAACATCTTCATGACTATATATAAAAATTCCAAAAATGGTAAAATTTAATATATACAGTATATATAAAAGAGTCTTATAAGATAGAGCTATTTTTACACTGTCATCCTGTAGTGACCCGAGGGGCCTTACTAGCCTAAATGACCTTAGATAAACATGCACTACTTAATGGGGTCTTTATCCATTTGGTTGGTCCAAACTTGCCTTAGCTTGATGGCTAAGTGTCCAAATTTGGCCACATTGTAAGTTGTAGCTTTGTTTCTGTCTTCCAGCAGGGTCTGGAGACAGCCCTTCCTGTTGCCTACCATCGCTGTTCAAAATAATTGAATTAATGTATCGTTCCTGGATCTGTTCATAAATTTTACAGTCTAAGAGTGCATGCTCCAGGGTCTCTATGCTTCCTACACCACATACGCAATGTCGATTCAGATATGGAATTGTCTTATATCTGCCCTCCAAGATGGCAGAAGACAACATGTCCATACGGATTAGCATAAACGACCTTCTATTTTCAGAATTTTCAAGTTCGCTTACATAAGGCATTGATGTGTTTCTATTGATGCCAATGATATCCCTTATGTGCACTTAAACTGTTATTCAAATCATGCTGCCTTTCTATGTCTAAGATCCGTTGCTTAATCAGACTTTTGGCTTGGTCGTAACTCATAGACATTAGATACTGTTGTGAGAATCCATAATACCCCAGTTTGATCTCCAGCAGTTCCCTCCATGGGGAATAATGTTATCCTGTGAAATACATTGACAGGAAAGAGGTTGGAAGTTCGATTCCCCACTGTGCCACCTTGACAGGGCCTCAGCTTGGGCCTCTTCCAGCTCTGCAGGTTTTAAGATGATGATTTCACAGTTTCACAAATGCCCTGTCAGAGCCTGCCCACCCGCAAAGCCAAACACAAATCTTCAGGCTTTAGTGAAGAGTCATTTCCCAGCTAAAAAGAAGTTGCTTTAATAGGATTTCATCAATTTAAATACAGTCTGTTAACCCAGCACTTCCCAATTCTTACGTAAGTTATGCCACATGACACAGCCTTTTCTTCAGTTCTTTATAAACAAGACGCACGTAACCTGTCCAAATTTTTCCTGTCCCCCCCCCCAACTGCTGATCTTTCAGTGGCCAAGCGCCCAAACTGTTCTCCTGCTGCATATTCTTAGGTCCGGTGGCCAGCTTCAAAAACCCCCGATCTTGCCTTGCTGTCAACAACCACAGGACCCAAGGCCAGAGCAGGGCTCTTCAGCCGGCCATTCCTCCCCCCATCCCACCAAAAGTATATGAGGGAGGGCTGGTCGGGTGTGTGTGTGTGTGTGTGTTTGTCAAGAGAACGGCCAACGTTGAGACGCGATCCATGCGGTGACCACCACGCCGGGGGAGGGCTATTCTCGCCTCGACTAAAGGCCTACATATCCCCATTGGGTTTCCTCTCCAGACACCAAGGCCTATGCTACCCCTCCCTCAACGACCGAAAAGAAAAGGTAACGTTCCCCTTACTTAGTAAGGTGGTGGTGGGGCCCGACCCTCCTCCCTCCCACTACTTCCGGTGGGGGCGGTGGCACAATGCGGAAGCGGTGGGCCTGCCAGAGAGGAAGTGAGGCAACCGCCTCAGGCAGCGGCACCAAGAAGCGCCCCTGGAGGTGGCGGAGGAGCCGGTAAGCGAAGCCGAACCGAGAGACGGGCTGGAGAAAGACGTCAAGGGAGAGCCTCCGGGTTCCTCTCCGCGGCTCTCCCTCCCACCTCCTTCTCCGAGTCCGGTTTTGGGGTTGGTGTTTTCTTTTTTGGTCATAGCAAGCCTGCCCTTCCTCCTAAGCCCTGCCGTCGTCAGGAGGCGAAACCACCCTTCCCCGGGCTGGCGGAGCGGTTGAAGAGAGAAGGGAAGCCGTTCCCTCAGTACAAGATGGAGGATTCGTGAGCCGCGGCGACACCCAGACGGCTCGCCGCCAGTTTTGTCTCCGTCAGTCTCGGAGAGGGCGCCGGGGATTCGAACCGGATCGTCCCCTGTCCTTCGCCGGTTCCCGGAGCCTTGGCAAGGCTGGCACCCACCCCCTTTTTGTCCGGCTAACCGTGCATCGAAGAAAGCCTGGTGCTCTTGTTTCCTGGAGCCCCATATAAAGCGGGCAAAAGGCGAGCCTTTCCCGTTGCTGTTCTCCCCCACGCCACCCCGCCCCGACTTCTCGCCAAAGGTGGAGCAAAATACCTTTTTTTTTCGCTTCTCCGTTGGAGCGAAGGCGGGGACTGTGGGGGTCGCAGGCGTTGCTCCAGAAAGTGGCTGAGCCCCCCCTTGGATGGCACTTGGGAGAACGGGGGGGGTCACTTTTCAAAAAGGAACGCAAGGGCAGGGGAATGAGGAGAAAATGGTCAGTGCAGGCAGCCTTTGGGAAAGAGTGGCCCTCAGTATCCTTCATTTTAATATACTATTCCCCAGTTACTGTTTTCATTGCGAAAACTGTTTCTTGGGATCATTCTACCATTCCCTGCTGGGCCTCCGTTACTTCTGCCATTACTAATCAGATTGCTGTCCCTTGTGTTTCATTAAGAAATCGATTTCCATACTTAGTGGTGCGGGGTCGTCGTGTTATGTACGGCAAGGGAATACCTAAATGGTTATTGAAAGCAGAGACATTGGTTAATAATGTGTTATGTCTCACTTCCCTGTGCCTTGCTTATTTAACAAATGGATTTTTGTACACTATTAAAAATATCAGTATGTGGTGCTAGAGACAAGTTGTATGTGGAAATAATTCATAAAAGGAGATATGTTGGGGTACTCTATTTGCTTGGGGTTGGTAAATAGCAGATGCTGCATGGTTTGGAGGAGGTACTACTAAGAGCCCCATGTCTTTTCCCCTTGCTGGAAAGATTGCCTGTGTGCTCCTTGACAACTTTCCACTCTTAAAATAATATCTTGCCCTCAGTTGAAATAGAAGAAACTACTGTCCCACTGCGGTGTTGAAGTGAAAATCAGCTGCTACTTCAGTTGGTTTCTACAGCTGAGATGTAAGGATGCCATCCACTCTTTTGCTTTAGGCAGCAAAATGACTTAGCTTGGACCTGTTGGTACTTGTAGCAAGGACATATCTGTAAAGATTCTTCACAGATACTTGTAGCAATGACCTTTATACAGCCCATACCCTGCTTTATCATGAATGGTTATTAAGCAAAACTGTAGCTTTTGGTTTTCTTTCAGTTTAGATACATTTCTTTTTGTGGTTCATTTTTGAAGGATTTATTCTGGGAGATGTGCTGTCCATTTACATTTCACATGGATGAAGAAACAGTGTTGGAGAATTTGGTGATAAATGTCTTGGTTTGAGAAAAGGTAGCTGGAAGTGCTTTGCTGAAAGCAAATGTGTTTGAAGATAGACATATTGTACCAGCTTGTTTGCTGAAGTAACATGCTACAGTATAACTCTTCCGAGTTAGTGTGCTTGATGAAGAATATGCCAGTGGCAAATTGGAATAAATACTGTGCTGTTAGTAAATCTATTCAGGAGCAAACACATTTTATATAGTAAACTTGCCCATGATGTTTGTCAGACATAATAAAACTGTTCAGATGTTAGTACCTCTTCTGCATGGAGCTGATTCCTTAATGTCCTATAGAAAGCTTGATGTGTAGTAGTAATGGGCAGTAGAAAAATGGAGTACATTTTCTTAAAAATGGAGTACATTTACTCCATGAAATGGTGTATATTTTCTTATTTAAATTCCTCGGGATGTATTCTAGGTGCTGCTGCTGCTTCTGAATGGAGGCACCTGTTAATCTGATTAATATAAAGATATTTTAATATATTGTGATAGTTTTATTTTATGAGATTGTTACTGTTCTCCTGAAGCAATGTTTTGATTTATTTTCTATATTTGCCTCTACAGAAAAAAAAGTCACAGCAGCAAATGTGATAGAAAATTGAAACAGTGTCATAATAACTGAACTTAAATGGTAAGGAAATATAAAAATAGCAGATAAATAAATTAAAAAGTTAGCACCTGAAAGTCTGTTAAAAGGTATGTTTCAGCTGATCATTTAAAAATAAATAGTGATGAGGACAAATAGGGTTTTTGGTATAAGGTTTGGTTTTCTTAGCACTAGCACAGAAAATAGCCTTCGTCTTGATGCCTACTTACCAAATTTCAGAAACTGAGTGCAGTGGGAGTTTGGTAGACCCCCTCACAAATTTAACATCTATATGGTAGATATCTTCCTCAAGTTGCAAGAAAGGCAAAATATGAATTAATTATTGGCTGAAATCCTGTTGTGCAATTTAGAATAAAGCTGATCCCAAGGCAGCCTCAGGACCTTTTTCAAAAAAATTTAATTACTGAAAAATTCTATTGGCTGATATCATCAGCCCTATGTGACAAAAGTTAAAGCAACAGAATTTCAGTCAGTGAATATTTTGTCACAGAGTCGGAAGGTTTAGGGTCTGAACCAACATGGTGTCATGGTTAGAGTCGGACTGAGAATTGGGAGATCCACGCTGAGCCATGAAATTCACTGGGTGATTTTACTGAGTCTTGTTTTTCCTAACCTGACATAGTGCATAGGATTCTTGTAATGATTAAGTGGGGAGGAAAGACATGTATTCCACCTTGAACTCCTTGGAGGAAAGGCAGGATGTAAAAGTAATTCATAAATAATAAATGCTCAAGGAATTTTGAATTGAGCTCAGAGACGGTTGGTTACCAATGTGATTTATACAGGGTCAGATCTACCTATTCCAGTTAACTTCCTGGTATTCTGGACCAGCTAAACATCTTGAATTATCCTAGAAGGCAACCTACATAGAACACATAATCTGAAGTGGCAGTAACTAGGACATGAGTGCTTAAAGCCAGTTGCATTAAATAACTTGATACTTACTTGCAGCCTTTATCTCATTTTACCTGTGACTATTCGTATTTTTCATATAACTGAATATCTGTTACTACTATTCTGAATTAGATTCTTTCAACTGATTATGAAGCAATTTCTTCACATTTATGCACTGACTGTTGATTGACAAGCTTATAGAAAAAAACAGTTACCAGCTGTGGACACAAATGCAAAATATTGCAGCTCTGTCACTTGAATATTAAGTTGAGCAGTTAGTTCTACACTGGTTTGGAGTGAATGTTTCTGAATGATAAGAAGCACCTATTAATCAATTATTAATTTTTAAAAACATTTTGTTTCACAGTTCTACCACTGACAAAGGAAAAATGGCATTCAGTAAAGGGTATCGAATCTATCATAAATTGGACCCACCACCATTCAGTGTGATAGTAGAAGCCAGAAACAAGGAAGAATGTCTCATGTTTGAATCTGGAGCTGTGGCTGTTCTCTGTAAGTGTACGAATTCTGATGGCTTACTTAGTACAAATCATAGTAGAGAAACATGGAAAGAAATTAAGAACTGGAGTTTACTGTATCTGTTTTGCAGATACAGTCGTTGCTGGGTATTTTCTAGTCTTTTACCTTACAAAGTGTTTTACATTGCCACATTTTTCAGGGTCACGCTTAAAAGCATAAATTAGAGTGATGTCTGAAATAAATCATCTTTCAGACAGTGACTTGCAGTAACTTTGGTATGGTTTTTGAAACACAAAAACAAACTAATTTAGAATGGTTGTTGTGGGTTTTCCGGGCTGTTTGGCCATGTACTTAAGGTTTTTCTTCCTTACGTTTCGCCAGTCTCTGTGGCCGGCATCTTCAGAGGACAGGAGGTTGCTTTGTCCATGTGCTTAGAATAACATGTTCTAGATACAGTCACTGATCAACAGCCTTAATTATGATTTGACATTTTATGTCTCACTCCCATCTTGATTGGCATGAGCAGTGGTTTGCAGTTTGAGACATCACACTAAACCCTTGTTTGGCTTCTTTAAACATATATTGGTGAATCTTGTGGAAATGTTTAAGCATATTTTGGTGTGAACTTGCAGAAAAGTCCCACTGATTCAAATAGGCCTCCTCTAGTTTTGACTTGCAACACTAAAGCGAAGTGTTGTCTACATATGTCTGCATAATTGAACTGATTTGTTTTAATTTTCTATAATCGAAATGTCCTTTTTTTTAAAAAAGCAAAGGGCAATTTAGTTTTGCCAAATTTTGTTTTTATTATTGTTGAAGTGCAAAAATGATACATGTTGGCCACTAAAGCTGGTGCCTTGATAATATGACTTTGTTACATTGTTGTCACAATCAAAATCCATAGTGCAAGATTGCTTGATTAGTAGAAAAGTGGAAACAGAACATAAATGAAGCATAACAGTGATGTGCTTGTCACTCATAAGCTATAGCTGAAAATGTTGAAACACTATAGTATTTGAAATCCAGTTGCTTGGCATAGTAAGTTGCAGTAGAGGAAATGGGCCTCCTCTAGTTGCGACTTGCAAAACTAAAGTAAATTGTAGTTAGAGTAGGCCCATTTGAATTAACAGAATTGACTGAGGAGTCAACTCACAACATTCCCAGTGAAAAGCCCCTCCAAATTCCCAGTGATTCAATGGGACTATTATAATGCAACTCACTACAATAAGCAACAGGATTTAAGTCACTGAGGTGTGACTATATTGTGACCTGACCAACAAATAATGGAAACATCAAAAATTTTAAGTGGTAGTGATGCTTTGCTAATGACCATAATCATAGTAATACTCTGTTAAGAGCAACCAATTGTTAAGCAAAAAGCTAGAAGAGAGTTAACAACAATAATCTTAGATCTGCAGACCTGGAAGGGAACCTATGGATCATTGAGTCCAACCGTCTCAAGGAAACACAGTGGGGAATCGAAGTTCCAACCTCTGACTCCACATCCAAATCTCTAAACCACTGCTCTATCCAGCAGTGTTCATGGGGAAGAAAAAAAGGAATATATTTTACTATAACAAAGCTTCAATCTGCATTTTGTAGCAATCTTAAAATGGGGAGGTGTTGCTCAGACATCATGTCATTAAACTATCCTTGATGTAAACAAAATCTGAGATTTTGCCAGAGAGTATAGCAAAACATTTAGGTCTTCCCTTTTTGGAAAAAAATATTAAAAAGCAGTTATTTGAATCTACCTCTAATGATAATTGGAGTGTGCAGGTCTCTTGCAGGAAGAGCAGGGTAGAGGAAGACAGTAATCCTCGTATTAGCAAAGCTGGAGATCCTGTGTAATGCACTATCTAAAATTAAAGTCATTAGAAGATAAATTGGATAGTCTTACCTACTTTTGAAGAGTATGTTTAATCTCCTTAGCCACTCCCTTCAAGTTGGTTAGTTAGATGATATAAAATTGTGTCTTCCCTTGTTCCCCATCTTCAATATATCAAACTACAGTATTCTCCAAAGCTGATAAAACAAATTTAAGGTAGATTGTTATTCTATGCTCATTCATCAAAACCCTTCTGGCTAATATGTTTGTCAGAGGAGGAGGTTAGTATGTTTGTTTGTTCTTTACTTAAAGTTTAGGAGCTAGGGGGAAAAAGATACTCAGTACATTGAAAAATGTGCAGCCTTTAGTTCTGCCTTTTTGTGTATTCTCAATAGGTGTAGCTTAGGATATTTTTTAAATTTTCCTCTTGAATTAGTGACATGTCTACGAGCAATTTTAGTGAAGGACAAGAGGCTTCCAAAAAAGAATTAATTCTGATATTCTATATATGGTATTTATGAGCAAGCAGCTTTAACAAATCTCTCCTTAGTAATTCTACTGAGATAGGGGTTTTCTACTAGACTTTATATCATGAAAAGAAGATAAGCTTTCCCCCTTCGCATTTAAAGGAAAGCAGGGTATGGGATGGCAGCCTTGCCTGGCTTATCTGGTACAAAATGTCAGTGTGTTGTGGATGTATCATGAACCTTAACATTTACCACATTGCTAAGAATTGGCAGCTCTTAATATGAACTTAGATTTAAAATGTATTTAATACTTCTGTTAATGCATACTTAATATCTGCAGTCAAACATTTAAATTATGGATGTAGCTAAGTGAAAGAATAAAGTCTCTAGGGCTGGCGTAACCCCTCTTGAATATAACTGGAATTTGTTCTGGGTTTTTCGGGCTCTTTGGCCGTGTTCTGAAGGTTGTTCTTCCTAACGTTTTGCCAGTCTCTGTGGCCGGCATCTTCAGAGGACATCTTCAGAGGACTGTTCTCTGAAGATGCCGGCCACAGAGACTGGCGAAACGTTAGGAAGAACAACCTTCAGAACACAGCCAAAGAGCCCGAAAAACCCAGAACAACCATTAGATCCCGGCTATGAAAGCCTTTGCGAATATAACTGGAAGTGTTTAGAACAGGAAAGAAACATTTTCAATAGAGGAATATATGGTGCATTTAGATGCACCATATATTGTCTTCAAAAGACAGTGGCTTCAAAATTAGTAGTAGACTCACTGAATCAGATCCTGATTGGGAAGTCAGTTTACTTCAGTAGATGCTTTCTTTTTCTTGGAGACAAACTTGCCAGACTGCTATCTTGATAAAAAATATAAGAAATGTATGACAAATGGGATCTGGCATTACTAAACATACAAACATAGATTGTAGAACATTTAATTTTTTTACAACTGCTCTCTATCCAAATTAATGTTATTTAATTGCTGAATACAAAATTTGTTCTAAAAGAATCTGAATGGTTCTGAACACTGACCTGATTTATGTCATTCCTTTAAAGTGGGCTTTAAGTTAAATGTACCATCATTACTTGAGCTTTACTGAACTTAAAAAGTAGCAGTAATGATTGGATAGCTACATTGAAGAGACTATGCTTGTTTTATTCTTCCAACTCAAACCGTCTGATACAGATATATTGCTATAAATCAGATTCTTAAAGGTATATTAATCCATGTATGCTTGAAGAACTGAATTATGGGCAGCCTTCAGCATTGTAGTAGGAGGCCACACAATGTATTTTTCCTGTTCTCTCAACCATCATGAACCCTAAAATCTGCACCAAAGAGCAGATTTCGGTGATGCTGCGGGCTGCAGGAGCAGGGAAAAAAAATCAGTTCACTGATTGGCCCAGTTCTGTCAATGAATGGACACAATACATTTTTAAGATTATCTTATTCAAACTGTTATAATAGCAAAGTAAAGGTGGTATGGGGGACTCACTGTACGTGTCTATTAGGTATATCACAGACATAATTTCAACATTTTATAATAGTGGCTAAGCACAAACAGCAGCTAGAAATGTCTTTCATTGTCCATTATTGATTAGTCAATATCTAGAACATCAGAACCACCACTTTACTTGTTAAATCCTTTTAAATAAGGCTGGAAATTGCAATGCTAGAACGAGACTTGTATTAGCTGGCATGCTTATAACATTAGAGATTTGTTCCGCCATCTTCTGTAAGTCTGATTACTGCTACTGAATGGGAATCTCACCATCTCTCTTGCTCGCTGTGTATAACGATTCTGCTTTATCATGCCTGCAAGATCTTGCTTTAACACAGCAGGATTACAAGAAGACCAGTGTTGCTGTCATTAAGTAAATAAAAGGAAATTCCTTACATCCTACGAACACTCAGAATCATTGTTATTTAAATACATATCTGCTCTTTTGGAAATACTTTTTTTAGCTTATTCTTGCAGTCTCAAAAGCATCTACTTGCTAAGTGGAGAGGTTTTCATTTTTTGTATGCAACAATTAATCATTGAAGATGAAAATATTTTATTTCATATATATTTGTATAGATTGTTTGAGTGCCAAAAGTAATTCTTCTGCTCTTAGATTATGAACTGGAAAATAACTTGAATTGTCCATGTTTTCCTTTCTTGTGCTTTGGTTCAAACTGTAAACATCAGATCTGTGTTTTTATGGACACTTTGCCTTAGGCTTATAAGCTATTGATACAAATAGCAATAGAACGGTCACAGTTTGTGGTATTGTTATGGTGCTTTGTGAACTGTGCTGGAAGTACTGTACAGTTTTTTCCCCAGTAACTTAGATAATATGATTTCTTGTAACTGTCAGCAATCATGCAAGGAAGGAGCTGATCTAGCAGGAGGAGGCAGGACAGGATGTTGCAGCAGTCTTAATAGCATCCTGTGCATAGACAGATGGACAATGACACAAATGTTTCACGATTAGAAAGAAAGCTGACTAGGTTTTTGTTTTGCCTAAATAGATAGACTCTTTACCTCAGTCCTTCTGAATAAGCCAGTATAATTTCCTTTCCTATCTTAAAAATACAGAAAGACAAATAATTTTCCCCAGTGTTTTGACCAGTTACACCTACTATTACTTCACACACAGTAATTAGTTATTCTTTTAAAGTATCCAGGATTCCTTTATTTACCAGTAGCAAAACTACCCTTCTTTGCATGAGTAAGAATAGCCATTATAGGGCAATATATTAAAGGTTTCAACCAACATGTAAAGGTGATAGACTGTTTCCAGTTGTGAACTGTGTGACTTGTAGCATGTCTCCTACCTTCTGTAGGAGGCATAGCTTTTGATCTGGGCCAGTTAAACCTTGCCACCCCCTTAACATATCTTGGAGCTGCTTCTTTCCATTTGTTTGCATGGCAGTGGCTTTCAGGAACTGGCATAGAGCCAGTTATAGTTAATATATTAGAACCATAACTCAAGGTATAATTGTTGGAGAATGCAAAATTATCTTTCTCTCCGAGATGTGGCTCCTAGCTCCTGATTTTGGTGCTTTGTTTGCTTTCAGTCTTGGATGTTTCTAGCTTGGACTCAGCTACTTCTATTGTAACTTTTCTGCCTTCTGCTCTGGAGTCTCATTTGCTCCCTTTCCATTTTGCTTGCTGATTTTTGGCAAGCTGGTTTCTTGCAGATTACTTTTAACAGTAGATATTGTTCTAAATAGTAGTTGTGTCGTGTTTAGTGATGTCATCTGCTAGATTATTAAATGTGGTACTGCAGGTTACAGACACTCGTAAACTGAGCAATCTGCTACCTAGTGACTGAAAATAAACCTGGAGGATACAGACGAATATAAATGTATTACATTTAGTGTGTTTTTGAAATTTAATAACACAAAGGTACCCATTCTTCAGATGGCCTTAGTATAGGTGGCAAAAATCTGCTATCCAAGTCTTGGAGCTGTGACAGAAGTGGACAGATAGAAACCCATTCACTTTTATTTTCATAACTGATAATTTTTAAGCAGCTCTTCAAATACTGTATATAAATATTGTGCCTCAGAATTCACAGAGAGCCCCCCCCCAAGGCTGAATTCTGGAAATGAGATCCCAAAAATAAGGAGTCTTCAGAGCAGTCCTTCCTACCTCCATGCTCTTGCTAAAGCACTTCTGTTTTGAAAAGCAAGGAAATTCACTCAGTGGACTGTTGAATTCCCAAGGACTTCTGGGACACACAAAAGTTCATGGGAGGGCTGTTTCCATTAGGCTGTTCCATCCACAATAGTGCTACCCTCTCATACACCTGGAAATCCCATCCATAATTATCAGGCATGCATTCAATATACAGTCATGTGAAAAAGAAATACAACCGTCTTTGAATTCTATGGTTGTACGTAGCAGAACATAATAAAAATCATCTGGTCCTTAGCAGGTCTGAAAATTAGGTAAGTACAACCTCAGATGATCATTTACTCAAGGGCATTTTGTGAGCAGTACCTGGCTGCTCCTTAGCCTCTTAATTCCTATGGAAGCAGTAAGGATGTACTTAGTTTTTCACAAATGGCTTCTCCATTTTAGTTTTTTTAAAAAATAAATCATGACACAGTGTAATATGTCATGTGTCATTGTTCATCTGAGTTTGTATTTACCTAATTTTCAGACCTGCTAAGGACCAGATGGTTTTTATTATGTCCTGATATGTAAAACCATAGTAGAAACGTCCCCTTTTCAATTTTCTGTAACAATAAAAAACAATCAAGCCAGTTCCAACATTTTGTAATTATAGGGTACTTACAGTGCTTTATTATTTCCTTCTTCTGGGAATGCTCTGGGACTGGCTCTTCTCCAGAGAGGCACAGTGGGAAATTGAACTCCTGATTTCTGGTTCGGTAGCAAGGTATGCAGCTCAGTGAGCAATCTTGCCTGCTTGATTTTCCTTCTGCATGCAGTAAAAAAACAATAAGATTCTGGCCGAATATATTTAATACTAGTATGAAATACTTAGATACCCTGGATCTTTAAACTGTTTAGAGAACAAAGAACTATGAAAGTAGTTCTGGCTATCAAAAGAGGATCAAGACCATTTTAAAAAACAGTAATGTAGTAAATAGACATGTTAATCTGTTGTAATAATTATGCCAGAAATAGTCATGTGGCATCTATAGGCGTAACTAAGGTAAAGGTAAAGGCTCCCCTTGACAATTTGTACAGTCGTGTCCAACTCTAGGGTGCGGTGTTCATCCCCGTTTCCAAACCGTAGAGCCAGCGTTTGTCCAAAGACAGTTTCTGTGTGTGCGACTAGACACTGAATCCCGTTACCTTCCCACCATGGTGGTACCTATTTGTCTACTCGCATTTGCATGCTTTTGAACTGCTAGGTTGGCAGGAGCTGGGAGAAGTGTCGGGAGCTCACTCCGTTGCGTGGATTTGATCTTATGACTGCTGGTTGTCCGACCTTGCAGCACAGAGGCTTCTGTGGTTTAACCTGCAGCGCCATCACGTCCCATAAGAGTAACTAGTTCTTATAGTTTTATAGTTTTTTTGTGTGTAAACATACTTCTTCATATTATTAGAATGGCCATGTATCTAGGCGGAGTATAAGTTTAGCCAAGTTTAAGAGACTTTTCAAAAGCAGTTTGGGCTATGATACAGACATAGTGTTTACTGCTTGAATTCCCTGATGCACCCAAGCTCTTGGGTGTGCCTAAAGTAGTTCTTCAGAGTTCTGATTGTTGTACCTTGGTATTTGTAGTGAAATATAAAAGTATATATGGGGTTGTAATACATGGTTGGTTTAGATGAGAACTATATGTATTGTAGAGCAAAAAAAAAAAAAAGAGTCTCACAATTATGCAGTTAAATAAATCAAATTGTTTGTTTTACTGCTTAAATTTTCAGAACCAGGAAATGGAGCAATTATAAACTTTATTCAAAAGCAAAATTGTTTTGTCAGAGCTCTTAATTCATAACATTTATTTAAACAGCATCTGCAGAGAAAGAAGCAATCAAGAATATGTATTCCAAAGTAATGGATGCGTATGGACTTCTAGGTGTGTTAAGATTAAATCTAGGTAAGTATAATATCTCAGTTGGTATGGTGGGCCTTCTTCCTCTTCGTTTTTATTATTCTTGCCTTCTTTCTGTTGATAGCATGATCTGTATATGACTGCCATGTTACAGGGCAGGAAACAAATGGCTCAGTCTGTATGCATAGCAAGATATTCTGGCTTTTGTTATTTGTTCGGATTTTCTGAACAGCCACTTGTCCCCTTGCACTACAGGAAAACTTTTGAAACATTGGTGTCTATTAGATATGGCACATTGGAGTGGGTTTAGGGTTGGGTTACCATTGACACATGTCTTTGAGCGAGTGCAATTAACTGCTTAGCTTAGGCAGTGTACTCCTGCCTGTTCCAAGTTACATATTATCTTCTGTTGCCTTTAATCCCATCAGGTACGGAAGAATGCTTTCACAGATGGATATTTTTTTCTAAGTTTCTAAGATGTTGTTGTAAGGTTTACAGTAGCCTATTTCTTAATGCATATTCTATTAGTAACAATTAAAAAAATGAGAAGCAGTATGTTCATTCTAGAACTAGGTATAGTGACATCCCTGCATTCATTCTTTTAAAAGGCTATTCGTAATCCTAATGTTTGTGTAGTTTATTCTAGCTAATTGACAAAGTATTAGGGTGTATCTTTGTTTCGCAGTTGTGTGTGTGACTGGGCATATGACCAAGACATGCCTTGACACCTTGAGTTAGCTAGAGCAAGTTACGCAAGCCTGTTGTGAACATTAATGGGATTCTGGCAGCTATTTCAGTTTTTATGGAAATTTTATGGGCCAAAGAAATGGACTTGTCCATGAAAGCTCACGTTAAAGTATAGCGGTTAGTCTTTAAGGTGCCACAATAATTTTGTCTTCTGTATTTTTTTCCTATTTTTGTTTTTGTTTTGCCTAATATGAGAATTCAGTAGCTAAAATGTCTCATCCACTGAAGTAAGTTTTTAGAGTTATGCAAATTGGTTAGTGAAAGTATGTCTTGTGAAAGTTTGAAATACACCAGTTGTTAAGTGACGTTTATTTCTTCCAGGGGATACATTGCTACATTATTTAGTCCTTGTCACCGGATGTATGTCTGTGGGAAAGATACAGGAATCTGAAGTTTTTCGTGTCACTTCCACTGATTTAATATCTTTGCGAGTTGACCCATCAGATGAAGAACGGATCTCTGAAGTGCGCAAAGTTTTGAATTCAGGAAACTTTTATTTTGCATGGTCTTCTACTGGTGTTAGTTTGGATCTTAGTCTAAATGCCCACCGTAGCATGCAGGAACAAAGCACTGATAACAGGTTCTTCTGGTGAGTTGTTTATTTTAGGAGTTCTGGCACATCATCTATACATCTATCTTTTGAATTGTCAAATATTTGTGTGTGTGTGTGTGGTCACTGCTGTTTGTGTTAAGATACTCATTAAAATTTCACTTTCTTGATATTACATTTCTGCATATAAAATCATGAAGTAAAAATGTGAGGAAAATACCAATAAAAGAAGAGACAGGAACTTGATTGCTTCCTGTTATTCTAAAGACTAAGTCAGTAAGAACAGCCCTGCTGTCCTGAATTGTGGGTAGACGTTCTGTCCTTAAACATGAGGACATACAGTATCATTTAGAAGAAAGCTGTTTGTATCACTGTTATTCAAAATTCTGATACTGAGACTGTGTTAAATGTATTTAGTTCAAAAACTAAAAGAAAATATTTGCATTTGCATTTGATAAGATATAATAGATTCATTGTATTCATTCTGAAATAACCCATTCCAGTTAATAAACAAGAAGGAACGAAACCTTTTGCAAATCACATTTAGCTGTTCGGGGAAATGCTGTTGTCCTATTAATCTACATGTATACAAGGGAAGTGAAAACAGTTGCAAATAATACAGTAGAAAGTTAGTAAAGCATTCTCTTGCTTACCATCCTTCACTCTTGTGTTTTTCTTATTTAATAAAATTTTTGCAAGACTTCTATAATACTGTTTAATATTAAATGTGCTGTATTATGTGAAGGTATCAGTTCTGTGCATGTTTATTGGAAGGCCAGAATTTGGCACAGGGCACAGAATCTAACATATAAAAACCTCAGTACATTTAGAAACCATTTTTAGTCCTCACTGTTGCAATGATAGTCCCTACTGCTATTTCCAACTTTTAGTAATATTGGTCAGGGATAGAGATGCAGTGTCTTGCTAGCTCAGTGCTTCTGTTTTTCCTAGTCAGAGGGAGTATAATTATGCTGGATAAACAGACTTTATAGTTGTATGTTTTCTGAATCTTGCATCCAATATCAATTATCTTGTATTCAGTTCAAATATATTTTCTGGATTGAACTTATTTTATTATGGTCAAAAACCAGCACTTAGATATGTATGACATGTTTTCCACCCTGCTGAGCTATTTGTCTTCCAAGGTTAGTGCTTTATAGTGATACTCTTATATTTGTTCAACTAATGCTAAACTGAACCACTTCTTTAATAGGAATCAATCACTGCATTTGCATCTTAAACACTATGGAGTGAACTGTGATGAGTGGCTGTTGCGTCTCATGTGTGGAGGAGTAGAGATTAGAACAATTTATGCAGCTCATAAACAAGCAAAAGCTTGCATTATTTCACGACTAAGCTGTGAACGAGCTGGGACCAGATTTAATGTTCGAGGAACAAATGATGATGGTCACGTGGCTAATTTTGTTGAAACTGAACAGGTAAGATAAATGTACGTTGTCGTTCAGGTATCTTAATCTGAGCAGATTTATATAAATAGGAGGATAAAAAACAACTGGTGACATATTTATCCTTCTAAGATACTCAACCATCCTCTGCTAGTCCAATTAGTACACTATGCATAACCTATAAACCGCCCAGAGTGGTCCTGTAGCCAGAGAGGCAGTATAAAAGTTGAATAAATAAACAAATAAATAGTTGAACAATCGGTCCTGTAGCCAGAGGGGCAGTATAAAAGTTGAATAAATAAACAAGTAAATAGTTGAACAATCTGACAAGTAAACCTATCTGTAGAATAGATCAGATTCAGACTTTTGTTAAAATTTGGGGTAAAAATCTTGATTATATGGACTTCAAAATCTTAGTGCTTAGAAAGAAATCAGATTCAACTTCTTTCTTCTTTAATTTGAGCATCCTTGTATTATATGTTTTCTTATTTGCTTCTGTGCAAGTTCTAAAAACAAAGAATGTGATGGTTAGGATATACTAAGGGGATATCTGTGTAAATAGATGTGTATTCAACCAATTTCTCCTGGACATTGTGGGGTATGTCTGTATAAGCTGATGGAGGCAGAAGGTGGAATTTCCAAAGTTAAATCATGTGCAAGCTAAAGGGTTTCCAGTAAGAAGACTTAAAATTGGTTGTGTGCACCTTACATATACAGTCTTCATGTCTCACTTAAGGCCTACCCTGTCATTTAAAAGCATTTTGTATCAACACACATGGAGAAGGAGTGTACCAGCCCTTCTCTCCTTCATTTCTGGATCTCTTACATGTTTGTGTATGGAGAGTGATGATTCTGATTAAATACTTCAATATACATGGAGGCTCCCCTAGAATATGAGTGCTCTAACATGTGAAAGTACAGAAAATGAGACTGAACTGGGCTTGTCTGTCTTACAGAAGTGAGGAGAAATACCATACTTAGGAGCCAGTGTTACAGAGATAAGAATCTGTTTCTTTAGCATTGGAAATTATATTGAAATTATGCAATATTCAGTGCTTTGTACCTTATGTCTTTGAAAGGATATTCAGTATCTGGAAAATGGAAACTGATTCTGCAAAAACTTTTACCTAGCAAGTCCTTCTTCTAGAGTATAACAGTTTATTCATAAGGTCTATCAGCCAAATTTTTGCCAGCCATTCTTCTGTTGAAAAAAGGGTCTGTTGTTTGTAGTCATTTGCAACTGATATCTGTGCTTTAAGGAACAAATCACACACTACCCCCGATTAATGCTTATTTCCATTCATTTGCGTCCTTAACTTTGCCCAGGAATAGTACAGAATATCCATAGGTAATTTATTATTTACATTTTGATATATCTATGAATACATATACTCGCCAGAATTCTTTTAGAGATTTATGCTAATGTAATTGCATAAATGTTGCAGTGAAATCTGCTAATTTAAGGAGTTACTGGTCGCATTTCTAGTCATACACCAGTCACATGACTTGACATGTGACCAGAAGTGGAAGTGGCAACTCATTAATTAATAGCAACTCAAAACCACTGTTTGTGTAGATATACTTATGCAAGCTTAAATCCAATAAGTTTCTATACTTATGCTGATATAAGTTCCAAATAGATGCTGACCCACCTATATTATCAATGAAATAACATATTGTGGCAGTTTTATACTATACTTGTATTTACACTGTAAATATATTTATTTTGTATGCATATTTATATTGTAAACAAACAGAGTTTGCCTGACAGATGTAAGTTGAATGTGTGCCAGGAATGATAGTTAAATCAGTTGAGAGATGTGACAGAACGCTCGTGAATGGAACTGTGAAGAAATTGGTTGGTATGATTCCTGGCTGGAGAGATCTCATTTTGTTTGTAAGGGTAGGGGGGCAGTAAGAACTATGTGTTAGTTAGGGTTATTGCTGTTAGTTAGAGCTGACTGTGGTCTGGTTCAATGAAGAAGAAGAAGAATGTGGCCTTATTGGAACGTGTTCAAATAAGTGTTCCATCTGTCTGTATGCATCTATCTAGAGGACTGAAAGTATTTAAATTATAAAAGTTAAATGAAAGGCTTGTGGCCATATAGTAAAGAAACTGATAGCTTGAACATTGTTCTAACAGTTTGCTTTTACCTGTTAATTGAATCCTTCTATTCCTTTCTGTTTCCTGTAAGTAAAACTTGTTTGGTTTACAGATCCTGTTCATTATTTTTGAAGAAATTATACCCACATGTATGGCTAAACAGTGCCAAGACACAAGGTTTATGCAGTGGCATCAAAGTAACTAAGGCTGTGTGCTTCATCAGCAGTATTCTTCCCTCTTTTAAAAGGGCAGTGTAAAATCAGCCTTTAGCTTGGCACTCGTTGAACAGTAGTGTAAAAGACAACACTGGCTGCTTCTTAGATTGTTGTTGGGGATAATGCAGGAGAAGGAGTCTCCAGTCACACATTAAATGACAACACCAGATTTTTTGTGGAGGGTTGGGAATCATTATTACTGACTGGCACCACACATGGCAAGAAAAGAGATGGGAGTGCCATGTATTTACAGACATTTTCATAAGCAGCAATAATTTAAAAAGAAACAGGGTCTTTTAGCAGTAAGTGATATTGCTTATTAGTGACAGTTTGAACAACAACAAAAATTCCTATCTAGTTCAAATTGTGAAAGTATCAGGGAGTATTTTAGATAAGAGTTTGTTCTGCAGGTGAGGCATAGAGAACAAGTCTTGAAATGTAGCACAAGGTCTAAATTTATTAAATCTTCATATCTTTTTTTCCTGGATAGCTTAAGTTTTTTAAAAATTGTGGGTTTTTACCTAGTAACATTAACTACTTGTATTCCATTGGTTTTATATCATGGTGTATAAAATTGTAAAAGTCTTCTTGTATTTTGATTATAAATATAGATATATTTGTGGCATCTCTAAAGATAATTAATACAATAACTTATTCTTTAACAGGTAATATTCCTGGATGAATGTGTGTCTTCTTTTATACAAATTCGTGGATCTGTTCCATTATTTTGGGAGCAACCAGGTTTGCAGGTATGGGTATTATATTTGCTCTCTTGAACTTTCTTGCACATTCTTGTCTGCTTGGTGAGGAATTAAATCCTAGTGATTTCAGGAGATCGTATTCCAGGTTACATTTTAAAGAAATCAGGATTCTTTGGGATAATGTTGTTGTTTTTAACCAAAATTGTGGGTTCAAGTAGGAGTTCAACTAACTTCTTTTTGTTCTTTTTGTCCCAGATAATGCTTCAGAGCTTTTAGATTGCTTACCCTTGCAGATTTTTTTAAATCCTTACTTGTATTTAGAGTCTTAACTAAGTATTACTATAATTACAAATTAAATCCCTAAACTAAACTTGGAAAACTAGAAAAAAAAACAGTCTTATGCAATGCTAACTTGTGATCTTGTTGGTGGGGAAACACATACACAAACTCCGTCTTTTCTGTACAGGATAGTAATTGGAGTACAGTATAGGGAAATGTGAAATGTTTTGTGGAGCTATCAATGTATGCACAGAAAAGTTGATTTAGTCATTCTGTTTCAGGTTGGGTCTCATCGTGTCAGAATGTCAAGAGGATTTGAAGCTAATGCACCAGCTTTTGACAGGTAAAATCCAGTTTCATGCAGAAGTTCTGCACTGTTTATCGATTCTAGTTGTTTACTAACCTAAAATTGATTGAGTATTTTTCCCACCTTACAGACATTTTTGTACCCTCAAAAATCTGTATGGCAAGCAAATAATTGTGAATCTTCTTGGATCAAAAGAAGGGGAGCATATGCTTAGCAAAGCTTTCCAGGTAATTATATTATGAATTTTACTGTATAATAAAATTTGCTATTATCTTAACATCAACATTGATAAGAACCAATATGCTGCTGTATGTCTGTCTGAACTCATGTTTCTTAATGTAAGAATAATTATAATTTTCAGTATTTTCTTACGCAGCAAACAGAGTCCCCATCATGATTCTCATGGGCACATATTCAGTCTGGCTTGGTGTATGCACATGTGCCCCTTAGAATTGCAGTGGAGACTTTGTATTTGCCAGTTTTGAATGGAGTGAACATTATTATTATTCATACATTAAGCAAAAGGATTTCAGCCAGGATATAATATTGAAAGAACCATACAGTAGCTGCAAAGCAATACTGAGGATATACAGAGTGAAAATTTAGCTGTATCATTAGGAAATGCTATGGTCTGAGTTATCAACAAAATATGTACTTATTAGCCAAAAAAAGGATGTTAGCAAAGATACAGAGAGCTGCTTATGTTTCCACAAGGATTTGTGATAACATTGTAATGCTTCTTCCTTAACAAAAGTAATTTCTGATACATGTGGTGATCTAGTATCAGCCTTCTATATTGAGGAAGTTGGGAGATGCCATGAGTCATTCATGAAGATATAAAAAAATGGACCAGAGTCCATTTCAAATCACTAAATATCACATCCAAAGATGCAATTCTAATGAATTAACACAGATTTGATAGAGGAAGCTCATGTCTTAGAAATTGTACGTTATAGCAATAGTAGCAGTCTGTTATTAACTACATTGTGCTCTTTGACTTTCAAAAAGTCCATCACAAATTTACTACAGGTTTAAAAAAAAAGCCCACAGCAATCAAGGAAAGGACTGTAGATGTGATAAATTTGGTTCTGCCTTTTGTCTATAAACTAACATGACATTAAAATTATTGTTTATAAACACAAAAATAATAATATAGGCACATAATTTATTGACTACATAGGCAGCATCACATTTTCTGTGCTACCAAATATTTATTCCATTGAATTAGTATCTGTTGCTAATGTTTTTTATGTTCTCTTTCTTCCACTATTTTCGCTAGAGCCATTTAAAGGCATCTGAACATGTCGATGACATCAAAATGGTGAACTTTGATTATCATCAAATGGTCAAAGGTGGAAAGGCAGAAAAGCTGCACACCGTTCTTAAACCTCAGATACAGAAGTTCTTAGATTGTGGATTTTTTTTCTTTGATGGAAAGGAAGTTCAAAGGTTTGGATATGTGTTTTTTATTATTAATTATGTTAGAAAAGAAGATGTTTCTGATTTAACCATTATAGAAGTGCAAGAAAATATGAAATGTACTGTGGTGCATTGACTTACGAACACCTTGACCTATGAACATTTTGACTTACGAACAGCTCCGTTTACAAAATCTTGCTTTGACTTGCGAACAGAGCTTTGACCTACAAACACAAAAAGGCAGGAGAAAAGAGCAGGAAATTCAAACTGGTGGTGGCGAAGAGGTTGCTTCTTTGTAGCTCTTTCGCCCCAGTGGTTTGGGAGAGGGATGCAGTGCCGGTGGGCCTTCCGGCTCGCCTCCTGCCTGCGGGCCAATGGTGGGAAATTCAAATGGCCTCCCGGCCAGGCTCTACCTCCCAGTGCTGGGAGGTATAAATTTTCCATTTACATGAAAACTAATTTTGAATTGCATGCATGAATTTAAAATTTAAAATTGTATGCATGTCTTAATCTATAATTATATTTCAATACGTCATCAAAGTTTTGTCAGTTGGATTTCTTAACTGATTTAATGCAGAAAGTGCATGAAAGAATAAACCAATTATGATTTAAATAATTTTGTACACAAATAACCAAACTTCAGACCATATTTATATTAGAAGTATTATACTGACAAGTCATGTGTTCTGGTATAGAGTTGCAAATAAGTACCCCCTGTTTATGTGGAGACAAGTAAACATGCTGATTCCAACCACAAGAGGCAGCCCTGTATTGCAAGACCATTCATTTCTCCAGCTCTAGACAGGGCAAAGATGCAGAATTCAGAGCAGTGTCCTTTATAAAACAACTTTGCCAGGAGCATGGGGCTGTCACTGCCTTTCAGCAAGGAGGAGAACATCAGTCCTGGGTTCTGCTTCTCCTCTGTTTAAAACCAGTATCTGGGTTTGTGAACCCTTATGCAGGTTTGTGCTTTCCCCCTTTCAGCCTTGTGCCCTGCTAATATGAAGGCTACAAAGAGTTGGCTGTATATCTGTGTTTTTTTCTCCCTTCCCTGCCCAATGTAGGGGAACATCCCTCTGCATGTTTTTCTGAGCTTCTTTCTCTCTCCCTCCACTCAGTATACAGACATCAGAGAGGCTGATCAGAGACATTCTGACACACAGTATAGAGACTTTTTTAAGCATAGTGTTTAGCTGAATATTGGGAGAGACTGTCTTCTGTTTCCTTGTCCTCCTTTCAGACAGTAACAGCTCTTTTAGCTAGACTGAATTCTAGAGAGAATTCAAGTTTGACCAGCCAGTCCTAGTCAGCTGACTTTTCCTATTTCCCCCTGTTTATGTGCATAGAGAGACAATGGTCTGTTTTGGTCATACCTGTGCATTGGAATAATGTGCATTGCTGGGTACCACAGTTTCAGAATGACATTAAAAAGCTAGAGCATGACCAGAGGAGGGTGACATAAGGTGGTTAAAGGCCTGGAAGCCAAACTCTGTGAAAAATGGTTGAGGGAATTGAGTATGTTCAGCCTGGAAAAGAGAATGCTGAGATGTGAAGACTGACATGTAGAAGATGAGGCAAGCTTGTTTTTCACTGCTTGAAAGAGTAGAACCTGAAGCAGTTGATTTAAATGACAAAAAGGAGATTAAAACTAAGCATGAAGAGGATCTTCTTGACAGTAAGAGCTGTGCAACACAACAGTAAACTGCCTTGGAAAGTAGTGGACTTGCTTTCATTAAAAGTGTTTAAATGGAGGTTGGATGGCTGTCTGCCCAGAATGCTGTAACTGTGGATTTCCTGCTTTGTCCAGGGTATGAAATTGGTGATCCGAAAGATACCTTCCAGTGTTACAATTCTGTGACTGGAAGCATACATTCAGGCCCCATAGTGGCGAAATAAGAATTCCTTATGCTTCAGTTTCTTTCCCTCTACAGATGTAAGGGCTATTATAAATAGAGGGGAACCCTCAATTTGCACTGTGTTTCTTTTCCAGAATAAGGAACTAAAAGCTCTTTTCCTGGCTTACTCATGACCAAGTACAAGTGAGGAGAGATAGCATCCTGACTCATTCAGTGTATTCTGGAATGCATGGCATTGAGGATGTTAGAGGTAGCAGGACAAGCTCAGGCTCAGGCATATAGGTTGGGAAATATTAACTACTCCCAAATACTTTATCTTTTAAGGCTGCATTGGTATAACTAATTAACGCATGAGGTTAAATATTGTGTGATTCCTGCCTGAGTACCTGTAAAGCAGTGGTCCTCAACCCTGGGCCTCCAGATGTTCTTGGACTACAACTCCCAGAAGCGTTCACCACCACCTCTGCTGGCCAGGATTTCTGGGAGTTGAAGTCCAAGAACATCTGGAGGCCCAAGGTTGAGGACCACTGCTGTAAAGCATGAAGTGTTAACATGTAAACATTTTATGCTGAAAGTATATATGTATGGGCCTCAACAGATGGGAAACCTTGACGTCTGAGCGTCCAGCCTGGAGGCAGGTGGTGCATCATGGCCTCTCCCAATTTGAAGAGACACTTGTACAGCAGGCCGAGGCAAAGAGGCAGTCCCGAAACAAGCAAAACCAGGGAGCTGGACAGGGGACAGATTGCATTTGTCTTCAATGTGGAAGAGATTGTCACTCTTGAATTGGCCTTCTCAGCCACACTAGACACTGTTCCAAGACCTCCATACAGAGCACTTTACCATAGTCTCTCGAGACTGAAGGATGCCTACACACATATATGTGTAGCTTCCTGCTAAGTTTGCCGGCCTTATCCTCCTTGTATTTCAAATATGACATTCTGATTATTGTCTAGCTTTTGCTGACTTTCTAAAATGGCACTGTAAGAGGAGTGCCACTATAAAAATATGACATCCTACAAAATTATCTGGGGATGAGGGAGAAGCACCTCTAGCTGGGAACTCGTATATTTTGTCAGTTGGATTTTTTAATATTTAAACTTCAAAGCAAGGTTTGCTTACTTTCCACTTACAACCTATAAAGAAGCAGAACATTTTGCATCCGGAAGCATTTAGATAAAATAACACCACTATTTGATATAGTGTGTGTGTGTGTGTATATATATATATATATATA